AGATTTTCTAACAACATAGTTCAAATCCGTCACAAATTAAATATTATTTTAGTTGTCCTTGCTCTTATCTCTTTCTATCTGTGTAGCTCTATATATCAAAGATCGGTTGAACTAAGACTTTTCTAACAATCACCTTTGAGTATCTAACGTCCGAGTTGTTGTTGCGTCACGCTCATCAGATGCTTCAAACTCGATTACAATGGGAACAATGATAGTCCTCCCTACGGATTATTGCCAGCGGTCTTTCAATCTGTAAATTGCATTCCGGAAACCATCTATAGATATAAGAGCAGCTCTGGCTTCATTGGTGGAATTCATCACAAATCAGCAAAATATATGCGTAGCGTATTAGGTCGTTGTTGTGAAGTTTCAACTGCGGCACCTAGAATGGCGCTTGTAAATTGTAAGCGGTTTGCTTTAGGAATCTGCCATAATTTTATGAAATTTCTTGTATACCTTGAAAAAATTGTACAAATCACTGACAATGGCCCATGTGATCTTATTTTCTTTTGCGTAACTTGAGCCTTGATCAAGTATCCAGATGGTCTGGATAAACTCATCCTTGTTCTCGCATTTATTTGTCTTTGATTTAATGGAAGATGTTAATTTCCGGTTATGCTTGACAGCAACAAAATGCTAACAAATAGTCGCCTCAAAATATTGGCTTGCTATCAATAATGGGGGCAGCGACGTTTGTTTGATTCACATAGCAAGTCACAGGAGAGGTTTCATTTTCGTCGTGGCCAAGTATTTAGGATATTTAGCAGCAACTGCAAGCCCACATTTCAGACGTAAAAGCTTATCACAACCAGTTGCATCTTATGCATCGGTATATATCACCTGCCTAAAGAAGAAGGAAGTCTTAGGAATGTCCAATCGCTATGTACCAGCCAGCTTTCAAATAAAGTAGCCAAATTAGTCGTGCGTTCAAATGCTTTTTGTGAACAAACACAGCGATTACTGACATTCACCACACCAGTAGAACTAAAGGCTTGCTTTAAAAAAGTGCTCAGATTTATGTATAAGTTTTCTTCTTTCCGGCCAAAACTAGGCCAAATAATTCAGCTTGCAGGCAGCAGTAGGTAGTCTGCAGCCGACTGGATTAGACCAGGGACATTTATGTACACGCGAACAGTACAATGTGGTCATTTTTTGTTAGGTTTATCTAGGATCGGAACTATGCTTCACCTGTTACTTACACCTGGTTGATAAAAGTTAGTTACAATGAACTTACACTTGCCGGATGTAAGTTAACGGTCAGATGAACTGCATTACCTGGTTTAGGTGATTTCTGCGAAGTGGGCTTCAACTTTCCAATGTCAGCGATTAAGTTGAATTTGAGAACCGAATTTTTCAGCACAGATTAAATCATGTAAGGGAGCTAATGGCGTCTAGTTTTCTACTCTCAAAATGTGCTAGCCAGCCAAAAGATTGGTAAATATTTGTCGATAGAATGAACATATTAGAAACTCATCGACCTAAGGTCAAACGCCACAGTTGTTTTTCTTTTTCCCGGTCAATTTGGTAGCTGCTCAGGAATGTTCCGACCGGTGATGATCAGACGCAAAACAGGACACCACCGCTACTGTTCTGATATTCAAAGGTTGTAGAACTAGCGTACCCAAGGTATGTACCTCAGAATTGGACCAGATAAGTGTAACCCGTTTTTGTCTTCTCAATGACAGCAAAACGGTAGACCACATTACCTCCGTTCATGCGGATACTGACGCTGCTATGCGCGCCAAACAGTCAGGCGTATGAGATAACGAACGTAGACTACGTGTTCTTGTCTTGTTGAGCCAGACCCTTATAGTATTAAAACCAATGATTCCTTTAAGATATCCGTTTTCTCACAATTACTAAGCCATTTTAGTACATGAATGACAAAATTTAGAGGGTCTGCGTCTACCGAATGCATATCTGCATGAGCACTGCTTATAAGGCACTTCATCATTATTATATAGGGAAGTACTTGTCTCCAATTGGCTTTACACATAAGCGTAAATATCATTTGTGAGCTACGTTAAACACCACTTTTCCAATAAGACCATTTGGTTCTACTTTTTACTTACCCCCATTCGCAACGAGATTTCCGCCAACTACTTTATGGAACATTTTAACGACGCGATCAAGCAGAATATGAGGACTTCAGCGTTGGAATAAGCAACTGACGATCTAAGAGACTGAAGCTTCTTCGTTTGGCTGAATTTTCTCTGATATTGCGTGGTATATAGCGCGCTTTATATGACTTTCTAACTAATGATCGGCAAGACTTGAATTCCATTATCGCTGATTATCATATGTTCAGATCTGATCATTAGTAATAAAACGACAACACCCAGCCTTTGGTGAACGAAATCAGCAAACCTTTTTGCCTGCTGAACTTGGGTTTTTCCCCAAAGCAAATACTCGTCCAGTTTAGTAGGCAAAGACAGGTAAGAAAAACGGTTTGGTCCGTAGGTAGTGTGCTGTCAAGTCACTTCGCAGATGCAAGAAGCAAGAAGGCCTACATACTCCTTTCTGCTGACAATTTTCCTTGTTGCTTCATTCTACTTTGTTACTACAAAGGCAAATTTGACAAAAATATTGATTTATTTTTTAAAGAGGAACATACTAGGATTACGGTGATTTTATTGAACATCAAAGTTACGCAATAGAAGCGCTACTGTGTTCGTTTGTCAAATACACAATAAGTTTGGAACAAACAATATGGATATTGCTTAGACAGAATAAATACTGTTAGATCAATAGTTACTAATGCTGAATAAATGAACGCTATCCTTTTCTCTAGAACTAAAACACTGGAAAACTCAACTTTCCTATTAATACGAAGCAGTAAATGTAAGCTATGTAATCCACTTTTTAACTTGCTACTCTAGATGCAATAGAATATAGACGAATAACTAAAATTACAACAGAGTAGGAACCAAACCGATTTCGCTAGTTAAATTTGTTTTTGAACTTTGCATAAAGGAACCATCATGATGCGTTATGGCGTCCTTTAACTTAATCATGCTTTCCACAAGCTTATAGCAAACATTAGCATCCAACTTCTGATTACTTTTATCAATGCGCCATAGTTTGGTTGCTCTGACCATGATGTTTAGATCGCCCTAAGTAATGTTTTATACTAACTAATGTTGACCGTCGAGTTTAAAATACAGACGTGCCATTTTGATTGCAACTACAAGTGCTATGCTTGTATCTTAGTTACACATTAGTTTAGAAAAAGAAAATACGCGGGTTTCATGTGAGCTGAATAAGCCACAGAGCAACGAAATGTCTACATCAAGCTTTCACATATATAAAGCGTAGAGTTTGCACACAATTTATGATGAAATAAAACTATTGCCATGCAGCATTCATAAAAATAAGCGGGTTAAAATAACTTAAATTTTCATAGCAGCTTTGCAATGAGACTTTGAGTTGTGTATGGATTCGTGCAGCAGCAACCCAGATATTCAAAACCTGACCGCTTATAGCAGCGGACCTGAAGAGACTAGCTACGTTCGACCACCGGTGCCTTCGTAGTTTAGGTCATATCTGGTGAGAACATCGCTTGAACAACGAGCTTGTTCGACGCCTTGTTTACGGTACAGGAAAAGGAAATAAACCGCCCAGCACCGTCATTTCACGCACCAGGCTCCGATGGCTCGGCCACGTGTTACACATACCAGCCCACCGACTCCCGCGACGTGCGTTGTTTGCGCGATTTGGATGTGGTTGGAAGAAAAGGAGGGTTGGCCAAGCGATGACTTGGTCGAGAGTAATGAAGGCTCTCAATTCGAAGCTTGCCTCGGCTCCCTGGATGGGGCCCGAAATACGATGAACACGTTTGGTTGGACACACTTGCTGACATCGCCAAGAGCCGACCTCAGTGGCGGTTGTGCTGTGAGTTTCTTTATCCCACTCCATCCCTCTTAGCCTCCCCTCCAACCACGATCTCATTATTTAGCCTTATATATTTTTGCATAGTAATTTTTTTGCGATGCACAGTAGCCGGCTGGTAGGTTAACGGAACGATGCCCATCCGTTATCGGTAGCTCAGCCGGCTTGCACCAGTTGCATTTTTTTCTTTTTTGTGTATTGCGGCACAGTAGCTGAGGTGTTCCCGATCTCTAGCTAACATGTACGATGATGATGATGAACCCAGATATTCGTGAAAATGCATCTGACAATATTTTACTACCAACATAGAGCAACAAATTCTGCATACCAATATGTGGAAACGTTGAATTTTATTCTTGTTGTCGCGAAACAGTCGACATTTGTTTAAAACGGGTGCTGTTTATGTGTTCGCACATCTACGACGAGATCGCCTCTATTTCTTACCGCATACTGAATAATATTTTATTATTTTGGGCAATCTGCAATGCGGTTCTATAATTAAGCTTGACAGTATAGCAAAGGATATATAACAAACGGTTTGATTAGGACGAGCTGCTTATTCACCTACGCAAACTTCTGTTTCTTTTAATTAAACATCGAACTGTTACAAAGTTTTACTGCTTTTCTGTAACTTAACACCTAGCTGCTCCATCTGCAATGGATATTTTCTAATGAATTGCTGCAAATTCACTTGAAATCGGTGCGGGTTTCTTTAACAAGAGCTAGTTGGTACACTGTCTACTTCGATATTTAATGTAATAGCTCTTGTAGAGTAACACTGTGAATTACAGCTGGCTAGTTATATCTGTGCTACATTGCAAAATATAGATTTGTCATAATGACATAAATAAAATACCGGTGTATGCTATGTGAATCCCACTTAACTATAGAATACATCACCAACAACGGCGATCTACCACAAATGCTGATTATTTTGAAAAATACACACATAAATAAAGTGTCATTAGTCAATGAGATCTAACTGGAGGCAACAGAAATATAATACGTTTCGTCACTCACGTCAACATCCACAAACTCCAAACGGATTCCTTGAGCGTTAGGAGCGGATAATGTGGTGCTGCAAAACATGTTGGGTCCATAATTACGAAGTCCTATACATCCTTCTGATTCTCTTGGTTGCGTTGGTAGGCAATGGCTTTGTATTTCTGCGTGGGTTATAAAAATTTGCTGATGAAATTGCTGTGAGGAAAGTTGCTTAATCAAGTGTCAAGATTTATGAGTACACCAGAGTTTTTTTTCAGAATCAAAAAGCAAAATTTATCTAATACTCTTACTGGCTACAAGGATTTTTGTAAAAGCATTAGGAAACCGTGTTACTAACAGATTATTCAGCTTCAACATTCCACCCAATCTCTGCTTTATTATTTATTTGATCCGTGATTCGAAGATTTTGTGTTTTAGTGGAATCTGGTGTAACATAAAGTAAACTGCTTAGTATATTCCGTAAAATGCACTAATTTATTTGAAAGGTTAAGATTACTCTTTTGTGCCACAATTCACATAGTTTCGTAAAACTTCATGTTGGCTGCAGCAGATAGTAAATAATCAGCCATACAAATTCACATGCCGCCTAAAGAATTTTTAATCACAAACGACTATTAGTAACCTACGAACATCCCGGGAATTTAAATTTCACAGATCTGCCTCGTAATCCTGAATTCATGGATTCGAACTTTCGTAGAAAACTGCACGACGCGTTATTCTACGTGCGAAGGATGGTGGTTGTTTGGCAGTGAATCTCGATATTGCTTAGCGTGGGCATCTCCACTATTCTACATATGTCAATGGTGAGTCCACCAAAACGCTTTTCACTTTATCATACAATTGACTTTTCACAATAATTTACATCCCACGCGACTTGTAAAGCAATTTTTTAACAACAGAATACAATTGTTCTATTGTTCAGTTTACGATACCTTGTAATTTTTTCTGTACCCTACTAGGCTTAGGCTGGTGGAGTGCGAAACAGACTGGAACACCTTAAATTTCAATACAAGGACTTGCTTAGTAAAGTGCTATATCCAGCTTGTCTTCAACATTTTGTAACTTGCACTGACAAACTAGAAGGTCATATATCATTCCCATAAGTATTGTGGTAGTAAAATTTAGTAGCTTCTATATATAGATAAATGCGTTTTGATAATTAATAGAAGAAAAGCAATGAGAGGTGAAAATATCACAGTCTATATTCACCCCAACGTATGGCGCATACAATTATATGACATATAACGAGGAGGTTCTGTTTTTGGTGTCAAGCTTCATATTTGGTCAAATAATACAAACTTTAGCCTTTTGAAAACTTGTCCATAAAGGCAGGCAACCTTTTACTTCAGAGACGCTACAGGCAAAATATAGGTTCTTAGATGGGTTCGCAATATATAATAGGTTGGAAAAGAAACATTGGCTGACCCAGTGTACACCCTCCGATATAAATATGCTGGTGAACCAGACGACTAATTTTGATACACATTAATTTTTGCTGTTCATTGATAAAGCTTTCGCCTGTATACTGGACGCTATCACAGCACCGCCCTGTTGTGAAAATCGGCAACATCGGTGTGTATAATAAGATGCTTGTATGTGTAAATTCTTTTTCATGTTACATCAGCAGAGCCTTCATGGACACAATTTAAATGCATGAGTGTCTCATTGAGAAAACTTAAAAATACAAACAATATAAGGGAAGATACAACGAAAGTTGGAAATGTGTGTCATAACTGAACTGCACCAGCAGAAAACATATCCCATGATAATTTTGACGGAATATACCGTGTGGATAAATTTAACTAATGGATTGGCAAGGTGGCAGCGTGATGCAGCTTCAGGGAATGACGGTAAATGTGTTTGGAAGCGTTAACCATCCAATGAATCATCATCAAATTAGAATATGCAAATGAACAATTAATTTACACTGGCTTAGCAGATTTGCTTTGCAAGACCCGTTGCATAGTTCGTGGGCACGTCGACATAACAATAATGGTAATAAGGATAATAAAAGAGTTAGTAATTTAATATGAAAATAATGGCTTATCGTTCGCTTCTCCGTAGTCCTAAAATGCGCTTAAATTTACAGCAACCTCAATTAACAGCAAATAATTCGATAGGAAACTCTAGGTGTAGAGTGGAGACATAGTGCCCAGTGATAAAGTGCAACTGGATGAGTGCATCATCCAACTGTCTTTTAGATACCTTAGTGTCTGTGCCTAGACGACCGATTCTGGGAGAGAATTCCACGGGTAACCGACACAAATGGAAAAAATTTTCTGCGGTAGTGCAGGTGGCTATACGGTACAGCGAGTTTCTGTGAGTGGCCCGTCAGGGTTGTATTGGTTTTGAGTCGCGTTAAGGGAAGGCACACATGATGTGGGTCTCGTAGAATCAAGTATGCCATAACCAGGTGGCATAATAGCCTGTGGTAGCTTCCAGTGAATATCCCAATCGTGTCAGCCTCCGTTTGTGTGAAACATTGCTCGTTCCAGTTATTTTTTAGATTCCTGAGTGCATTAAGGTCGTATTTCAGCCATATAAGCCAGGCTTTAATTGCATATTCGCTATGGGGCGAACCAATGTACTAAGTATTTGTTGAAATATGTTGCTATTTACTGGTCCACACGCCTGTCGCAACAGTCCGACACTTTGGTTTTCAGTCTTTGATGCCATTTTAGATTGCCTGGGGCAAACCAAGTCAGCTTGAACCAGGACAACAAGTCACGTACGACAGCTAATTGTTGCAGTATATTCGTTCCGAGCCGGTATGAGTAGATACTCTGATGTCGGATGGATAGCCACTTGCATTTACTAATGTTGAAATGCAGTAATTTTCGATTTGTCCATCGATACACCGTATCTAGATCACGCTGAAGCAAATTTTGGTCGGCATTCTCCTGGATCCTGCGCCAGATCTGGATGTCGTAGGCAAACATTAGGTGGTTTGAAGCAGTTCCCTGTGCAAGGGATTTAATAAATACAAATACAAAACAAAAGTGGACCTTAAAATGCGCCTTGCGGCACACCATACTCGACTTGTATGTGGTCCAGTAAACAGTTCCTAGCTCTGACTAATAATTGACATTGAAGTAGAAAGTTGGCAATCCAGCTGAAAATAGGGTCGCTGATCCCGTAATGCTGGAGCTTAAAGATTAGTATCTGATGATTCAGACAAACGAAAGCCTTGGGAAAATCAAGGTAGATCACATTAACACCTTCTCCAGCGTCAGCTGCGGAGGTCCAACTACTGCGTGCTATTAGTGAATTCGTTGTACATGACCACTGTCGATGGATGATGTTACGGTTTTCCAAATAGCAGGCCAGTGCATCGGCAACTATGGATTCCATAACTTTGGAGATTTTAGCAAGTAGGGACAATAGGCAATAGATTGAGGGATCATTTCTGTTGTCACCTTTGTGAATCGGGTTTTATTGCAGAATTCCGCATAGCTGGAACTTGAATCTGGTCTAAGCAGCGCCGACAAACTGCGCTAAACCTCCTGCTAGTTGGTTTGTCTCCGGGAAAATTGTGTCGACACCGGGCGAGCTGTGTTTGCGTAGAAACGTCAGCTTTTGCAATACAGTCCCCGCGGTAGAAGTGGTGTGGCTTAGTTTTGGCGAGGAGACGGCAAAATTCAGAAGATCGCTTGGTTGCAAGACCTTCTGAAACGTGGGAGGAAATTGCATCCGCAGCTCCTTTGCTGCTTCCACAGCCGTTATTGGTGGGTCAACACAAATCCTCAGGGGAGGAAATCCTTGCTACAACTATCGTATGCTATTGACATGCTTGTACAGCTGTTTATGGTTAGCACTGAAGGTTTCGCTATGTTCAGCTGATATGCGGCTTGGTATTCCCATGGCTGTTGTGTGCAGTGGTTACTTTGGGCTAAGTAGTTGTTCCAATTTTCTGGGGTTGAAGTGTGTCTGTACACTCGTCATGCTGCGTTGCGTACTGTCATCCATATACTAGTTTTGCTGCTAATAAAAGAAACCGAAGTACACATTTTGTGATCATTTACTTATGAAGCTCCGATAGTAAGCTGACTGCGTTTGTTGACGAACTCGAAACAGACGACTTCCGGGGGTTTGTCGGCAAGGAACAACTAAGATGTAGTGCTGACGAGCTGCGCTGATCGATGGTAGCTTGGATGGTTCGCAAAATCCCATCGTTCTCATTCCGATATTCCGCGTAGCAGCCAAAGCTGAAAAGGGTGAGTGCGTAATAACAGCAGTTTAACTGACAGCCAAAAAGCAACACATCAATCACATGCTCCTCTTTGTTAAGCCCACGATCCCGTACATATGGCCTGTGACCTGTTCTTAACCAAGTAGGCAAGGTGCTGTGATTATAAAGAGGAACGGTGGTTAGGAGATCTTGTAAATCGACTTTGTATTGTTCTCCGATCGTTGTAAGTTTTTATACACAAGTTACTCTGAAATCCCCCATGATAAGTATGTGGGTGTACTTTTGATGAAAACTGCATCTTAAATCAGCCACTAGGTGGAAGTCGTTTTTGGGTGTAGAGTTATGGGGTGGTAAATCAAGATTACGAGGTTAGAGTCCTTGCCTTTTAAAGGAAACCGGCGCCAGATAGAGTCGGGGAACTACGAGTCTGAATTCTTCACGGATTCACAATGTAAGTCACTTCGGCAATACATGATATTTCTCTTTTTGTGCGTCCATCTTTCCGGATCAGCGACATGCCCGGTAGCGAAAATTTAACGTCTGTCTTTCCCTGTGCAACCAAGTCTCGGTGATCCAAATGACATCATTAGGCTCGAATGCTTGGCGATCATTCAATACAACCAGTTTATTAAAAAGACCTTAAGCATTCGTATAGAAGCAGACCAGTTTCTCGGTATTTAGGAGCCCAAAGAGTGTTTAAGTGACCAAGTGTGGGAGAATGTCGACCGATGGGAGGTCAGCAGTTGCTCCTATTTTGATGGGATAATAATATCTCGTCTAAAACTTAAACCGGTCAAGGTGCGTCCCACTCTTCTTTTAGACCCACGTCACTATCTGTTAAAGCAGCAGACAACTTACGCTTCTGTACATCCGTCGGTAGGCTAACTGCTTTGGGTTTTTTAATATTTGAGCTGTGCAAAGCTCCTGCGAATTTTAACCAAGGTTCAGATAGATTATTTGCTTTTGGTGCCATCGATCCTAAACATTTTTTGCTTGTCGGTCTGATTTAATCACAAACGTTAGGATGCTAGGGCCGTATCCTCAATAATTTGGTAAAAGAGGTATCCTGGTGAGTAACAGCGTCACAATATTATCCAAAAATGTGTTCCACGAATGAACAGCCATCGTTCTAAATCGTGCTTTCCGGTCCCGTGAACATCCTTAGATGGGCATCAGGGCACTTCGTGTATGAAGCTTGTCTTTAAGCGGTCTTGCTTGATTCATCCCTCTTCGCACTTTCTTTTATGCGCGCACTACAAGGAACATCAGCTTTGATGCGTATTCCACATGATCCGTATTTTAGCGCGCTGGCGGAGAGTAAAACGTTCTCTAAGTCACTGGAGGATTCTAGTGTTACTCAAATAAGTCTGGGTTCTCCATATTGTGGCACGTTCGGATGCCGAGTAATATGCAGTAAGTTTATAGGCCTACATTTGGCGCTCATCAGAACGCACAAGGAGCTCCACTGTCTTGCTCATTCGATAACTTATCCCGTAATGTGATGACGGTAAATACAAGGGCTTTTGCATACACAACAGGCCGGGCCCTGTTGATCTACGAGGTATGGTACTCCTTCGTCCTAACCTGCTGACAAGTGTTTGTTGTTTGCTTTTTCTCGCTACACCCGTATTCTGTATGTACAACAAAAGAGGCCCCAAAGGCGTCCTCCCCGTGGAGCTTGGCCGTCTTCCTTGCCTATGTAACTGATGTTCCTGGGGCTTCGTCACAACGGGAGACATTTGAATTACAGGTACCGAGGGTTGGTGTTCGGCTGCTTCATCCCTGTTAATGCTAGATAACAGGTGTAGTGGAAGTTGGTAAACCAAGTGTATCGAATGGTGCTTGATTTTTGTTGTAATGGGTATTGTTTGACTCACGTAGGTGCGGTCCATTTTCGCCTGGCGTTCTACCAAACTTGGACAAGACAACGGACTAAGGGACGTGACAGTTTTCGCTTTAGGGGAAGCGAATTATGCAGCATTCCCTTGCTTAGGAGCCGATACGCTTCCATGGTGAATACTCGCTTCTGTTAACGTAATTTTACCGTTTATCCTCCGCTAATCTTCTGCGGTTAACAGGTCACACTTCTGAGCTAGGATAATCTAGCACTTAACGAGTGGGATGGTGAAGCTCGCAGTACAGAACCATTTTGCTCTCGTGCCTATGGTTGGGCTATCTTTGCACATTTTGGATGATACCAATCCAAATAGCACGAGCAAGCCGAACCGAATTTAGCTAGTCAATATCATCACCCTAACCCTCAAATTCCCTTCGCTTAAAGCCTTTTCGCATTTGCATTCCTGCCTTTCAGCGTGGTGTCCTTACCTGACCCAATGGGTTGATAAGCGTTGTGTACTTCTCCAGATTTGAAAGCGGCGCACATCGGTCTGACGAGCGTGGTGGTTGCAAGGTCAAATGAGCGGTCGGCGTGGTCGCACGGTTCGTGTGAGGTTATGCAGGCGCAATGCCTGACAAAGTCACAAGTAATGGCTTGTGGCTGGAGCCTGCTAACTGAATCTGAACACAGCGCTGAACACAGATTTTGAGATCACAAATTCTTTCACAGTTGTGCTGAGAAACGCCGGATCGGAATAAGCTTAGGCTTTTCGAGCTGTCTCGAAAATTCCGTGTAGATGGGTGTCACACGGAAACGTAATCGGCTCAATGTGATTGAGTTATCCGCTTGCGCTTAATCACGGATGCCAGTGAAAAAGCTTAGTGATCGCACAGACTATAATCGTAGAAGACATTTCCACGTAGGATGAATTACAATATAGGGCTGAGAAGTCCGGTTCGGATAAGTGTAAAATGGAAAGCTGCGAGAGAATGGAGAGAGGATAGAGGCAAATAATCCAAATTAATTAGGACCACGCACCTCATGTGCAAGTGTGCTTAGCTTTTCTCTACTAATCTGCAGACTTAGACGCAGTGCAAGGACAATCCGTGCTTTTTAAGCAAAGTCCGTAATTAAAATATTTAGACCCATAATTAGTCGTGGTCACTTTGCTGTGTGGTGGCTTGCTGACTGTAAAATGTTGTTTTAACCAATAGTTTCAGATGCGATTTTTTATTGCAAACAGGACCAAATTAAGTCATCAATCCCCTGAGATGATCAGGAGGTGTCGGAAAACATGAATGTCTGTGTTAGAAGACAGTGTTCTCGTTTGATGTTCGCAATGGCTACAAACAGAATTAAATGACTTGCGTGCACAGCGCGATGTTAATTAGGAGTTTTGCAAACCATTCCCATGGAGCAGTGCTGGCTTGGAAACATATATGAACTAATCATTCAGCTCTCAGAGCAAGCAAAAGGCTCATCTGTACACCATGCTTCGGCTAGGATCATGTATTTGAAATGATTTTTCCCTACTATCGAGGTTGGGTCCCATTTTATGAAATCGCACTTTACTCCTTTTTCCAATCTAGTACGTTAGGGTTCATTGATGCATTGCTTTATAGTCTTAAACTTGGCCACATTAAAATAGAGCGGATTCTGGACTGGCTATTAAAATAACCTTTCGAGATCTGCATGTTTTGTTCTGCCTTCTCCCCGATACTTAAAGGCTCTGTTTATACAATGATCAACAGATTGTAATAAAAAAATTACCAGAATAACATTCGCATGGTTCCGTTTACATTAAACGCATAACATGAATGCAATACTTGGTCTTGTATCACTCGGCACTGAAATTTATTTGTGTCGGACTCTTACCACGAATTGACATACAACAATTTCGCTGGGAGAACAACTTGCAACTGACAGGCTTTTGTGAATTATAATAATATTTCAGGCAGTCGATCGTAGTTTACAATTCCGAACTAACCAAGGAAACCCTTAAACCAGCATTGACCCTTTAGTCAAATCGAAGCAACAAAGTAGCAGCTTTGTTTTAGGAGACCGGGCTAGGCGGAATCCATGCAGCGCCGTTGCTCATTGGCACAATTTCGCAGCTTAATGCTTGATTGTTTCTGATAAAGTACCCAGCAATACATCGAAAAGTAACGAGAAAATAGCTCTGCGGCGCACAAGGCCTTGACTTGGTTAATGGAAATTCACATCTGTCACATCACAGTGTTGGCAATCATAAATATGTGGGTTTTCATAACAAGATCACGTGCTGGACAAAAATCGCGTTGCCGTTACGGTTAATCAAATTTGGTCCAGTATCGGAATATTGTGTAAGTGTATATTCCTTTGAACTAGTCGTTCGTCTTATTCAGATGTCTCGTTCTGTTCAAATACTTCAGATTAGAACCACTAATGCTAGTTAGTTTTCCGTCCGTAACAACACAAGACAGTGTTCGGCAAGCAATTTGGGCATGCATCTTTTACTTCCATCTTATTTTGCACTAAATATTTAAGTGGATTGATACCCATCAAAGGATTTGAACTGGAAAGGAAATATGTCCCTTGAGCAAGGAAAAACAACCGGCGGTAGGTAAATCGTTTGGTTGTTCAAAAAACTTAAGTCCTAGAGGTCAAAATATTTCTCCTTAGCAGTTCAAAATTGAAGATATTTATCGGTAATTGGAAGAATATTCTGTTCAGCATGTATCGAATGTTGCATGAAATGAATGACGTCGAAAGTTTCGTACTGTACTTAACAATTTATCCATTCACTTGCAATGCTCTGTGGATTAGCTTAGTTTAAAAGTACAAATTCTCATGACCGCTGGTGCTATGCCGCCATAGAGTAGGCAAAGAAAAAACAAAACGTACCGTTAGTAGATATGTACGATTAAATTCCTGTATCGGAAAAATAGAATAATTCGATGCGATACGGGAACTTACGGAAGGAAAACGACGCGTTGAATAAAGACCCCTGTTCACCTGGTATTGAGAGGACAATAATCATCGTGTTTGAAGAACCTCGGATTGAGTGAGATACTGCATGCTTACTCTTCTCGAAAACTTGTATGATTTCAGCACTGCAATCCCTTCCGTCTAAAATTCTGATAATTCCTGATGGAGAATTTATCTGTCAAATGCAAATCAACCGGTTTAAATTAGCTTTACAAAAGACAGGCTTACACGTTCTTTACTAGAATATGTTTAGTAAGTGGGTTTCAAAGCAGATGACTTGTAAAATAGAGTTCATGTCGAGAAATATTTTGGGATGTACAGAGCTACATGTCTAACTTAAATCTGGATTATTTGTCTTTGCCAGTAATCTTGATATTTAGTCTGATGATCATTCTGCATATTACTAACTACCGTATGACGCCTTTGCGAAAAAGTACATTGATATACTAGTAAATGATATCTTTTAAATCGTTTGGTTACACTTGTGGGCAGATTGCTAGCGAAAAATAATCTAGTCTGCCCATTTTTTCAGCGTAGGCTTTGCAGTGGATGTTGATAAGTATACGAATGTAACCCAGTATTGCTAAACAAATGTAAAATAATAATCAGTAAAACTTCACTTATAGGTGGATGTTAGTTATGTATTTTTAGGATGTTTGTAACAGTTAGCTACAATATATTCAAGCATTTAACTTGATACTATATCCATTTCTCAGTAGTATGCAAATATTTTGTAGGAAGTTTCCCCTAATAATGCAAAAGTTATTGCACCTGCTTTGATTTACGTAGATAAACATCTCATTTGCTGTTATTACTTTTTCTCTGTTAATTTGAATAACAGCGGGGCAAATTGACTAACTCAAAAATAGCTAGCGGTGTGTCATTATTAATTCGCGGTTTTATCGTATGTAACCAATGCTGCACTAACCAAGAGCACAGCTCTAAGAAAGTCGTTGTGCTTCAGCGACAATTCCCCCTGCTATGATATGTAGTAATACAACTGAAGCGCGTCAAAGCACAGACATGCGTACAGGTAATAAAGTTTGTCTGAACAGTCAAGTTCCTTGCGTTCTCCATTACATACTTCTTCGGGCAAACATTTATCACTGAGAGCGTTGTTTGGTATAAAGACTTAATGTTGACAATTAGGTTTAATTGCAGCTACATTTAGGATCTCGTACTCAGACAAATGAGAACTACGGACTGATCACAGCTACCAAATGAAATCATATATAATACCGTAGGTATATGCGCTGGCAGGTACTTTTAATTTGCTCAAATAAAATGTAAAATTACTCACATAACCTACGTCTAAGTACTTCTCCGTTTTCTAGTTTGCTCTTATCCTACATGGCTCCTGCTACAAAGTTGTGTATTAATTTAAAATATTTCAAAACATGCCTATGAATATATACAGGATTACTTAAGGCAATCAGGTTTAACTTCGTCTGCTATGCAGAATATCTGAATGAGAACGATGAGACTGTGCGAAACATCACAAGGTACGACCGACTCGCCCAGCTAGTCAGCGCCACAACTTGGTCGTTACTAGAAGAAGAACCCCAGAAGTCGCCTGGCTCCAGTTCGTCAACACATTCAGTCAGCTGATTGCACAGGCTTCAGAGAATAAAGCTTGCAATAAGTGCAAATCAGTTACTTTTGTTAGGAGCAGAACTCGAAAATGGATGCCAGAACGTAACGCAGCATAGTGAGTGCACAAAGAAGCTCCAGCACCAGAAACTTGAAGCAGGTACGTAGCCCAACGTAACCAATGCAATCAACCGTTAAGAGAAGAAAAGCCGCCTATCAGCAGAACATCGCAAAAACCTTCAGTGCTAACCACAAACTGCTGTACAAGCAAGTAAAGCGCCTACGAAATTTGTGGCAAGGATTTCCTCCACTCAAGACGGCTATTGGCCCGACAAGAACGGCGGTGGAAGCAGCAAACGCTCTGCAGATGTAATACGCCCCACGTTTCAATGAGTTTTGCCACCAAGGGATCTACTAAGCTTTGTATTCTGCTTGCCAGGACTTACCCATATCACTTTTACAACAGAGGTTTTATTGCAAAGCTTACATCCCTACGCAAACACAGCTCGCCGGGTATCGACAAGATTCGTCCAGAGACATTGGAAGCAGCAGCATGCCAACTGGCAAGATATTTAGCTCAGTTCTTCCAGCGCTGCTTAGACCAGAACCAACTTCCCGCCATGTGAAAACTTAGAATAATAACCCCGATTCACAAAGGTGTAAGCAAAACCGATCCCTCCAACTACCGCCAAGTAACCCTTATTCCTATACTCTCCAAGGTCATGGAATCCATAGTTGCCGATGCACTGGTGTGTTATCTGGAAAACTGCAACCTTATCACTCCCGAACAGCACGGTTTCCGTCGACAGCGGTCATGTACAATTAATTTACTAATTGAACGCCGTAGTTGGACCGAGGCAGCTGACGCTGGAGAAGGTGTTGATATGCTCTACCTGGATTTTTCCAAGGCTTTCGAACGTCTAGACAATCGGATACTACTATCCAAGCTGCAGCATTAAGAGATCGAGAACCTTTGTTTAAGCTGGATCGCCAACTTTCTACATCAACGGCAATTAGTGGTCAGAGTTCGGAGCTCTTTATCGGACCCCATACAAGTTAAGTGTGATGTGCCGCAAAGCTCAGTTCTAGGTCCACGTTTGTTTTTGGTGTTTATTAATGACCCTGCACAAGAAATCGCTTCAAATCTCCTAATGTTTGCCGATGATTTCAAGATCTGGCGCAGGATCCAGGCGAACGCCCATCATCATCTACTTCAGTGAATTAGATACAGTTTATCAATATTCGACCCAAAATTTATTGCATTTTAACGTCAGTAAATGCAAGGTGCTTTCTATCCAACATCAGAGCAGCTACTCATACCCACCCGTAACGGATGCGCTGCAACAATCAAATTTCGAACGTGACCTGGGTGTCCTGGTTCAAGATGACTTGGGTTGCTCCAGACAATCCGAAAATGCCTCGAAGACCGGGAACCAACACGCCGGGCTGTTGCGAATGGCGTTTGGACAAACAAACAGCTCCATATTTCGACAAATGCTCAGTGCGTAAGTTCGACCCCATGTCGAATATGCAATTCAAGCCCGGCATCCATGGCTGAAAAACGACCTTAATGCACTGGAGCAGGCGCAACGCCGGGCATCTAAGAACGTAAATGGAATGCGCAATCCTTCCTACCAGGAGAGGTTGCAAGGACTGGGATTGTTCAGTGAAAGCCATCGCAGACTACGAGGCGACCTGATTATGGCATACTTGATTCTGCGTGAGCCACATCATGTGTGCCTTCCGTCAATGCGACACAATACCTATTCAACCCTGAGGGACCACACATTAAAACTCGCCAAACAATACAGTCGTCTGAAGCGTTGCAGAAACTTCTTTTTCATTCGTGTCTGTCACTCGTAGGATGCTCTCCCAGAATAGGTCGTCAATGCACCGACACTAATAGTATTTAAAAGACGATTGGACGATGCACTCATCCACTTACTCTTTGTCACTTAACACTACGTCTCCATCCTACCTCTGGAGTTTATCATGAAATTATTTTTGTTAATTGTGAGTGCTGTGAATCCAGGATGAACGCAGAACTGCGGAAAAGCAAACGGTAAGTCCTTATTTTCAAATTTAAAGTATAAGCTGTTACTTTCCTTTTCATTATTATGGTTTTGTTAATATCCCCACAAACTCTCTAACGGGACTCTTAAATCAAAGCTTCTTAACCCGTTTAAATTCATTTTTCATTTTTCATTGTTTTCGTTCATTGAATATGTATACTTAGGACAGTTTCAATACCCAGCATTTCTTACGGACAAAAAGCCCTTCATTCGTACGCAAAAATTATTTTCCGTGTCCAAGGCTCGTGAGCCATTGTGTACGCCTGCAATGATACGAGGCACCTGAAGCGTACATTGGACATTCGCTTGATGGAGGATGAAAATGGCTTGATAAATAAGTATATGTTTGGTCGATAATCCTCACCATGAGCACAAGCCGCTTACAGGATATAATGTAGCTATACGATGCTACGATGCCACAGACCAAAATAACGCCACCAAATAAGAAATCACTTACGGCATCACGCTAAATAACAGAGGCAAAGATGCAACAAATTCATAAATATGTAAATTAACGGTTTCAATGTTCAGTGACTAGAAATCAACCGTAACATTCTTGGTATTGTTTTGTTGATCACGTCGCTGTTTACGGGTGATAAGCAGCGCATAATTGATACGATACATAACTACTTTTTGATGAATTCAGTTACGTATGGCCAATGGGCAAGGTGGACAATTTCCGCAATTATTTCTAACAATAAACATGTTGTCTCTCCTTCAAAATATAATGTATCTCCGCTTTTACCAGTCTGCTTAAGTAGACAAATTTAGGTGGTTTCGTTTTATCCCCTGCCGTCGGCTTTAGTCGTGTTCACCTGTTACAATTGGTCCACCGCTATTATCTTTGTTAAAACATGCTATGCTGTTATTTCATCGTCTTAGATCGGTGCTTGCTAGTGCACTGTTTCATTTCCATGAGTTTTGTAAACAACCTCAGATCCCATTCTATCGTTCGCCGTCAATTGCTCTATTCATGCTGCTCTGATGTAAAAAGAAAATTATTACTGCTTCTCTTCAGCAGATTGCAAGTACATACGCACAAATCTGTAGGTCATGATGCATCTGTGCTGAGAATAGAGTAAATGTATAAAAATGAACCGGCTTTACATTTATATGTTAACATCCGTATGTTAAAGCTGAAGCAGGAAACTGGATTGTTACCTTTCTTACCCTTGTTTTAACAAACTTGCTCCAAATGAGTGAATGTATTGGTCACATAACAAAGGTTGCGCATAAACTTTAATCAAATAGTTTAAAGGTTCGATCCATAAGTATATACTTTTAGAATACAACAAATATGACTTTGTATAGGAATTTGGTTTCTTTATCGACCAAATATGATTTGCGTCTGGATGTCGTTGGCAAAAGTACATGGATCCAATTTAACTAGTTTACCTTTATTGCCCTTCAAATTGGACATTCTTACAATGTATGCCTCCGCATCCATTGCTGCCAAACCTGTGACAATGGCCGTGCCACAAGATCAGTTTCGGAACTGATTTACTGACAAAATTGTGGATATTTATTTATGTATAAATAATTATGCGATCAAAATATTTCATTAACCCGTTTAATTGTGCGGTAAGAGTGACAAGACTCTTCTGTTCTAAGGAAGAATCCAATGGTACATGTTGACGTAATAGCTAAAACTGTAGACACATATTACTGCTTCAGTTAAATTTCTCAGCATGATAAAAAAGGTGAGCATACTCTAGAAGTACGCCTAGGAATTAAGAGAATAAATATTATGCTCACACCATGATCAATGGTTTGCTATGAAATTTTGTACAATAATGTTCTGATACAATCATTTGCTGTTATCAAAAGCATATATCCAGTTACGATTTTGTGATACATCTGACATGCGGAAAATGAAAAAGTGTTAGGTACTAATCCGCTTGCTTCCGAGCTACACACGTCACTAATCCCTGAGTCAAAATGTCTTAAAGTTTTCGGATTATTTTGACTGAACCAATGTTTTCGCACGACTTGTTAAATAATACGAAAAATCGGAATTTTTAAATGCCACCTTAAATGTTTCGTAAGGCTGCAATAGCTAATAGTTTGCATAAATTTTCTGTAATAAATTAAAAGACTTGCTGCATGTATTTGGTCTCTTACTGGTTCCATTGCTATTTGCATTTACCGGCTTTGATCTCACATCGATTTCCTGTTAGCCGACATATATACATCATCTATACTGGTGTAAATATTTAATCTCCTTTAAAGACAAAGTCGGACAATGAAATTTTCATCTCTTAAACTAGTAATTTCTGAAGCATGGTGTGATAAACTGCCAGTGTTTTCATTAACCATTAAGGCTTTAGGGTCAGGTCTGTATTAAAACGATCTGCAGCCAGAGTGATGAATTATATGTTAGCTAAATTGTAATTGAATGTTAGCATTTAAATACTATCGCTTGATAAATTCTCACATAAAGTCAAATTATAAGTCAGATTATAGACTAGATGCCAAAGTGCATAATAATCCGGGGTTAATTCAACAGCAGACTAGGTATATATTATTAATTAGTAAGCAAACTTTTAGATCTCCACGAGATTGCCGCAATAAAATTCGGACTTTTGACATTTGGGAATCCGAGGAATAAATAAGCGATTCTAAATTAACATCCAGTATTCCGGTTCATATTGGCTAAATTTGTGCTAACGGACGCAATTTCATTTTGATCGGATGGCAGATTATCCAGCCACCAAAACTAACTAAAGATAAAATTTGCTCTATTGACTTTGGCGTTTGAACTTTTATGTCATTGGATATAAATTCCAGCAAAACGCTCATATCTTTTTTAAGCATGCAATTGCGCGCGTGTCATAACTTTATTGACGAGTTGTCTTTGAAATCTTGTGTGATCCGGTGTTAGAATATCTAATGCTTGTGACCGAAATCACCAACATCTTTATAAATATATCTGAACATATTGCAATAATGTTACACATCTTTCCTTCCTACTAAGTGCGTTGTTTGGCAGGATGCAACGTTATCATGTTTCCGTTGTCGTTGTATGTGGCCCATTTGTACACAACCCTAAAGAAATTTAACTGATATTACCACGACAGTGTTATGATACGATTGCTGGCGCTTATCATTCATGTTGTTTCCGCAATACCTTTTTGGTATAAAGATAGGTAGAGTGTTCCGCATCGTATTTAATCACTCTTAAACACATTCAAATTTAATAGAGTGGGATATTTGCCTAATGGTAAATGAAGATCTACCATAATTTCTACCAGATTAAGATTTTGGCTGTCGAACACATTTTAGATCAAGTACATTGAGGACCATTAGCCTTTAAAAATGCTTTAGATATACGCAATTTCGCCAACTAATTCATATAGGATTTTATTATTTTCCGGTTTACGCACAATATGGAGCATGCATTAAACATTTCAACCCAGTGACGTCATGCAATCTCCTCCCGCTCTATGTACTGCGAGCCCTCCATAACTTAGAATGGGTCAGCACCAGCGCACATTAACGTACTACACGCAACGCTTATACCACATACATGTTGCAAACGAGCATGTCTCCGGCTGTTCAACCGTAACAAGACATTTTATGCGTAACTACCGGCAGTGTCCTTAAATTGCATTTTTGTCCTTTGAACTTTTACATTTCACACTCATCGTCCAGGTGCTTCCAGATAGTCAGCCTACTCATCTGAAGCGCATAATTGACTAGATATGATTGGATAGGCACCGGTCGATGAGCGTAAGAGCATCCAATGCAAAAAGATTAGATATAATTTATTACATTCTTAACAGTATAAATTGCTCAATATTTTGTTAATTGGGCATATGCTAATGTACACAATCTCGAGTAGGTGAATCTGACCAACTAGTAATTATCGGTATTTAACGTCTAATTTCATCTAGAGGGATAATTTAAAGGAAAGTAAAATAAATTGAAAAAACAAAAATAAAATTTGTTTAATTATTCTAACACAATACAAAGCTGGTTTTACAAAACACCGGCTTTGCCTTAGGCCACGAGTAAAGGTGTATTGTAGGAGTAAAAGATAATTGGTCAGAAAAAGTTTTTTTTCCTTATAAGTAAGTGGATCTCAGTACCTAAAGTGAAATATCAAGTCGTAAAATAATCTATCTTACCTGCAGTGCTTGAACCTTTAGTGTGATTGTACCTCCTTGGTCGTTCGTGATTCTCCAGATACATAAATTGTTTCCTGCAAGCAATCCTTTCCAGTAAATGACATTCGATGTGCTTGTATTCAACTCCGTACCACAATTGTCTGCGAAATATATCCATAAGTTCAGATTTGTGTTTTGGCCGAACTAACATAACAAGCCATAAAACCTAGCTATTTTCTTCCCTTATCCATGCCCTGATGCGCCCTCAAAGGTGTGATCAAAAGCCAACGCAACATTTTTACTTTGTTAAATCCATTTGTGTGCCCTAAGTTCATAGAGTAACACGCTTATTGCACAGCAATCGAAATCACTGTTCGCCTTATTTGAATAATCACTGAACTTATTAATGTACCATTCGTAATCTAATCAATTCTTAAAAATTGCATATGCATACCGTTATAAGCTCTTTATTTAGGTCTTGATAACATAAAGCTATCAAGTATAACAACCGTACAAATAAAAATCTTTTGTTTATGAAAGATATGAAACTTCTGTTGCTGCACCCAAAACGTGCTCAAAGGAAATATAGTAGCATAAACCACAGTAACGTTATTTTTCATATATTTGTTAGGAACATAAATAGGATAGTATAATCTTATTATCGTTACTCTTAAACCAGTTAACATTTGTTCAAGTATACATGACTAGATCCCAAAATAATTTGCGAAAAATTTCAACATGAAAACAGTTTGTGTCAACGTGTCATATCTGGGATTAGCAAGTTCATTTTGGTGGGTAAGCGAAGTTATCATTAATTTGCATGATCGGTTAAATATAACGGTTTCTACACCGGATTAAACCATATTTGACAGATCTGATCTCGTTTTTGCACTTTTTTGAATAGCTTGAGGACACCATCTAGCTTATCTATATCTCCCAGATATTAAGAAGCGACAATGTTTAAAATGCCTTTACTAAGTAGTAAACGGTGCGTCAAAATCTTCAATTAATAAATGTGCAACCTAAAATGATGTACATAACTGAGCCCAAACAGATGAGTCAAAAATAAACAGACCCATATAAACTTGCATATAAATTTTAACAATACCAACGATTTATATTTCTTGTTCGAAACTAGTGAGCAGATATAATTTAATAAACCACGTTACAAATATAGTCAGTGATTCGTGTACTTCAGTTTTGTTGTTACGATGTTGTATTCTTATCCTTGATAATAGATGTGTGTCTTTTTTCATTATCCGTCGATTGTTAACTTTTGGATTGGCCGTCTTAATTTTACTATGGTACTTGAAAACTCTTGCATTGAGGCGTTCAGGCTAGACCATTTTACATGCATTTATAATTCACGAATTTTTCAGGAATCAGATTTGTATTTCCTAAAAGTATCCCTCATTTCCCAAATACCGAAGCACGGATAGAAAGGGGGAAACACGAATCTGTTCACTATTTTTTAATAGTAAAGTCTCGATGGATAAAATTTGACAAGGTTAAATACGCGGTGATTGAAATAGCATTTAGAGTAAGGTTAGGGTATACTCTAGCTTTATGAAAGACATGGAATTACGTTGGTAAATAAAATTCATGTTAATGTCAACGGCCTAAAACCAAGATTAGGAGGTAAAAGTCGTCATATAAAATTATTTTTTCTGTCATAAATTGCTGCGTCTTCTTAATATGTTTGTTTTAACAGCTGTGATTTTAAGAAACTTTTAAAAATTGCTTGTATCTTACGTCGCTCGGAAATTTGTTTTGCGTCCTAACCACTATGGTGAGTGGTCTGCGCGAAAAATGAACATTTGCATTTTTACCGATGATTTAATGCAACTGGACAGATGGCGAATGCGCATAATTTTTGTACCAAATTAACCTTGGTCGATGTGCAGCGGAAACAGCACATGATAGCAATAGTTTGCTTGGTGCTGGAATAACTAATAGTCGTACTGCACAATGGTGGTTTCAGAAATTTCTAAAATGCTGCGGGTGGCTGGAGGATGAAGATATTTCTGAACGGCCATGACAAGCGCAAAATGATCAATTATATGCCTCTGTTAAAGCATGTCCGCGTAATACTATTCTATATCATGCTACTGAATTTGCAGTATAGCATAAGACATTTCGAATATATTTATATGCGATTGGAATATTGATAAAGCTTGATAAGGTGGTGCCATATGATTGGAATGAAAATCGACCAAAGCACTGATTAGAAATGACGTCCACCCTTCTATTGCGTAAAGAAAACAACACGTTTCTAGACGGGACTGTGAATTGCAATAAAAATTATATCCTTTAGGACAATTAAAGACCAACCGCACAATAAGTGGATTAAGATTAATCTCCACAACATTACCCAAATCCAAAATTTCACACAAAATGAACTATGTTTACAGTTTGATGATATATGCGGGGTCTGATCCATCACAGCTTTCTGAATCCAAGGGAAATATTTACACTGGAGAAGTATTGTAAAGAGTTTCTCGAAACACACCAAAAAATTTAACACAGTTGCCCCGCACTGGCAACTGAATGTTGCCAATTCTTCCACCTGATAATTCCTATTAGTACGTTGCAAAAACAACCCTGCGGAAGCTGCACGAGCTGAGCTAACTAGCTTTGCTTCACCTGTCATATTCCCCTAATCCCAATCTTACAGATTAATGCTTTTTTCAGACTCCTGGATTATTCTTACGTGAGAAAATGTTTAACACTCTCGAAGCTGCTGAAACCGCATTCTTTGCTATCATCGTCACTAGAACTGTAACATTTATTTATCTTGAAGTAATGAAATTGCAGCCCGTTTGCGTACGTGTGTCCGTTTAAATGGTATTATTTCGAATAAAAATGTTACTTCTAAGCCAATATATATGCATTTAAGGTATACGATTACAGAGCGCAATAACCTTATTACCAAAATAACATGGTATGATGCGGCAACGTAATCACTATAGGTATTAGAAAGTAGAAGTCACGATGAAAACTCACGCACAATAATGCGCCTCGACGGGAATCAAAACCCAGTCCCTGAATTTCCGGTCCGCTGCTCTATCACTGAGCTGCCGAGGGCTGACGATTAGGTGCGCAAGTTTTAAAACATGACTTCTGCTTGGTGTGCGACGTATTGCCAATGAGCTCACAGCATCAGTCCTGGTGTTGCAGATTGGCTCACTCACCCGTCACTTCCCAATGGGCCGAAGTATCTGTCCTTCTAATGTCCAAAGGGCGATGGTAGGTTAATTGTAGATGGTTGTGAGTATGGTAAAGTTCGTAGAAAGTAGAAGTCACGAGTAAACCTCACGCACAATAATGTGCCTCGACGGGGAATCGAACCCCGGTCCACCAATTTCCGGTCGGCTGCTCTACCACTGAGCTACCGAGTGCTGACCATTAGGTGCGCAATGGACTTCTACATTCTACGAACTTTACCATACTCACGAACATCTACAATTAATCTTCCATCAAAATTTGGACATTAGAAGGACAGATACTTCGGCCCATTGGAAAGTGACGGATGATTGAGCGAATCTGTAACACCAAGACAGGTACTGTGAGCTCATTGGCGATACGTCGCGCACCAAGCAGAAGTCACGTATTAAAACAGTGCACCTAATCGTCAGCCCTCGGTAGCTCAGTGGTAGAGCAGCGGACCGGCAATCCTTGGACTGGGGTTCGACTCCCCGTCAAGGCATATTATTGTGCGTAACTTTTAATAGTGATTTCCACTTTCTACAAACTTTACTGTACTCACAAACATCTACAACTATAGTTACTATTGAATCACTTTCTTATGAGCACATAGCAAAGCATGCTGCCGTAACGCATTAATTGAACACAAATTTCTTAATGTTTGTCAGCCAATTATTTTCTTCTACTGTTCATAAAACTACGATTAAAAATAGTATCATACTGTCAACATTATTCACCTTCCTGGAGGTACCAGTTGCTCTTTTGTGACGCAGCGTCTTTAAGCTAGGCCCGTCATAGCTAATTTAACGACTTCGAATCCAAAGAGTACAGTATTTTAAATTTTCAAACATGTATTGCCAATAGCAAAAACAAAACTCACGCAGCAAATAGTTGTCATTAAGATTGGCTGAAATAAAAAGAAAAGCTATATTTTAATTCGGTTATTTGACAAAAGTCAGAAATTTATAGTTACTCAATCAATTTTCGGTTAAATAAGTGCTGTCTACAAACTTCACACATTTTACTAGGAGTTTCATTGACCGTTTTACTTAGAGTGACTTTTAGGCCGTGACTCCAATTTTAAATATTTAAACATTTGTACACAAATTTAAATTTGTCGGGGAGTACATTGTTCATAGATATGCGTCTAGTTCAGTATTGGCTATCAACTGAAAATCTCTAAAAACAGCGACCTGTGCTCTACAATCAACCTGAGTTAAAATTAAACCTAAAGCGATAAATGCTGAAATCTTATAATAAGAGTAAAAGCTTTGTGGATAAATAAGCGCCTTATCAAGGCAAAATTGACGGACAAATTTAGCATTTGCAGATTTATGTGGCCTAGATACAACGCTAACTTTGAAAGTTTAAGAAACTTCACAGCTGGCAAATAAACTGCCACTTTCTGTGCTTTTCAGCTGGGAAATAAAGTTGCGCCATCAAGAATTTTTACATCTTATATTGTTTTATCAGTATTTAATTAAACTTACTGTCTTTCCTCGTTTTCTTTTGATCATGCAGCTTTTCTATAAATAAGGTAGTATATATTTTTCTTATTATTAATGAATAATAAATGCATAGCTATCACACGAATAAGAAAAAGTGCAGTAGGTTTACAATTAATGAATACAATGGCTCAAAGTTTTACAAATAATTAAGCAAAGTAAATTGTCAAGAATGACAAGCGACATAGGAATAAACACACTGAAACACTGGTGGCGTTAACTTTATTGGCGGCATTTGCTAGTTTTTTTGTGAGTAAGATTACCAAACTTACCAATGTTATTTCAAATGTTACTTAATCAAATTGACGGACAATGCAGCAGCTCGCGCATAGGTTTAGCATCTAGTTATTTAAGACTCAATGCTTGATGGACACTGAGTCACTAAGCGTATCTTGTAACTTAATAACGATCTTTGTGTTAAACGTAATAACATGCTTGTTACCTGCTTCAGAAGTGATAAAACCAGAGGAATACATTAGTTTGCAAATGGTCTGTTATTTAGAATATCTCCGACTGCGTCGTTTGTGTTCCGAAAAGATAATAAACATGAAAACTCCGTTTAATGAAAGTCAGCTAATGTCCAAGTTCACAGAAAACTTAGATGTCTTGAGGCTATTAGCAGCACTAGGCGCACTATTCAGAGTGGTTACTTGGAGGGAGTTAACCTACCGAGCATTACTTTGCTACATGCGTATACATTGTCATATCAAGTGCAAACAATATATTGATAAGTTTCCGTGATAGTAACAGTCACAGATTGTCTTACGTATATGATTAGGTGAGGCACATATCTTATGTTTAAAAGAGTTATCACAAAATCTGTAGCGCATAGGCAGACCAGATGTTGTATGCAGTTAAAGAAGTGTATAATTTGTAAATCCAATAATGCGTTCTATGCCAAATTTCAAACGAACCCAAAGAAGTGGGCCTTTGCTATTAAAGCCACTATTTTAAATCATGTGCCACTGTATATTTTTTCATGCAGTTCTGTACGTAATGGCCGTGCTGATGTGTAAGTTAAAACAGTGAATATTTTCTGAAGCGCCGTTCGATGGTTTATTTAAAACAATCTAAATCAGACCAAGTAAATCTCCCGGCAGTCCATAACGATGGCTTACCTGGTCTGTATTTGAGATGGAAACCAGCTTTCTCTACATTATGGTCACTGATGAATAACAACGAGACTTTGTTTTGTTGTGCGCTAATTGCCATTTGATGATTTGAGCCGGACGCCATTGCAATCCGTGGGGCCATACAGTCCGGACCGTCAAAGATGATCAGGTAGTCGTACATATATTCCAACTGAAAGAGTTGAAAGACTTTGTAAAACATGCAATATGAACTCAGCATTAATCGATTGTATACATGCGGTGAAAATATTATGCTATGAAATCGAAAGCAGAATGTTAATATCTTACGGAATTCCAACAAACTTTGACTCTGTGTACTAATAGGCAATTATGTGTGTTGAAATTCGCAAAATGAGATAACTTGATGTTAGGTAGATAGTGTAAATTGACGTCGTTATTGGCGATGCTGTGATATTTACTGAACAAAATCCAGCACCATGACTTTCTCAACTTATCGAGGATATCCGAATTAAGTTAACTGAACACGGTAACAGTGCAACCTCCATATTCATCGGCAAGATGCTAACACTAAGTGGATGGTTTCTATTGATGTGAGCTCACGTTCCACATAATTTACACTGGAAGGAACTTTAGGATCATCAGTGTGTATGCCGACAAGGTTGACTTTCCGGGCACTGTGCATATGGACAACAGGCAGACATTTCCAAATAAATGAAAAAATACACTTGTCGGTTTAATGTTGTTGTATGGGCAGCAGACCAGTTCCAGTCCTACCTGATATTTTCATTTGTCTCTTGGAGAAAACTGCACTATTTTACAGTTTACAAAATGTGCATTGGTATTGTAGATACCTTGGAGATTTTGGGTTTGTCTTGGTTCTGTAGACAAGGCAAACACTGCATTCAGCTTGTACATTATATATATCGATCTTGTTCCCAAGCAGACCGCAAGCGCGTCACATAGCAGACTAGTTTTGGCATTTGGAGAGAGTAAAATGTTTTAACGCATCTCATTATTAGGGCAATACATATTGACAACACATAAAAAACCAGCTTATTATATCGCAGAGCATATCAAAGCATTACTAAATATATTCCTGCCAATATTACATTTACCAATATCAAGCGCTAAATCGCGCAATTAAAACGATTTCAAATAACATGTCTTTTAAATGCATGCACTGATCTGAAAGACTAAAATCAAGTAAGCACTGGTTTTCACTCCTTTATTTCTTGTTTGCATGCTCCTTAGCAACGTACAAAAGTGTAGTTGGACAATGGTTTACTACGTGTAAAAATGAAAATGTTTGTAAGTCTCACAAGATAGCTATCGTGAATTATATGACCAAACATTGCCTTAGCAACTTACATGCCACCTCGGTTGGTGGCGAAAAGCAAAGAAAATCGTCCCTCTGTGGGCCAAGTTGCAGTTCTGCATTCTCATAACATAAAGGACGGTGGAAGATGATCTACACAGTATCACAGAATTTGCTCATGCCGTCCGCCGCTGTCGATTTGGCTAAGTAGCATTACTCTCTGCCTCGTAAGATGAAGCTCACGGGTCTGAATCCGGTAGGATTCAAATGATGGAAACCATTTAGGAGTACTGGCGGGGCAATAGCACTGACTGGCGCTTTCTAGAATCTCTAATGGCTCTTTGACTGAGACTAGCTACGACAAACCCATTAAAAATCCCGACAACTATTCTTACTGTTCACTCATCCATTATAAAATGTTACTCCTAAGGAAATCTAGTGCATGTTACATATAGCAATAAATGTAATACAGTAGCACAGGTAAGCGTATTCCTGGCTACACTTTAATCGGCATGTAACATATTGCAAAGTTTGTTCTGCTCCACTACTTACCTATCACCGCATTGTCTAATCGCATTTTAATTAAACATTTTCATGAATTGACTGCGCGCGCAACGAGGTAGTTTTAGTCAGTTTGGTAGTCGGGGAGAAATGAATACTGTCTATGTTTCAATAAGCTATATATATGACTTGCTTAAGCTATTTGCTTCTCAGAGACCGTATTGGTCTAGTCTAGGAACCAGGTAGCTGAACGTTCTACTTATAATTCCAACTGGGTTGTTCGGGTTTAATACTTTACACTAAATGTTCCAGGACGTGGTGGGGTTTTGTCTGGCAAGCGCTCTCCATAAAAAATATCGCAAATATCTGTCTGACAACACTGGGACTTTACGGTTGTGGCTCGCCACCAACTAAATTCACCCCCTTGCTTCACCTCCTTTTATCAAATATCAATTTCCTTGTAGTTAGCCATAGAATAAAGTGCTGATCGCATCCTAGGGCAAGTTTCGTTTTAAGTTCCATAACTACTTTTATAATTTAATGTTTAAATGAACCTCACGCTGCGTTTAGAACAAGCAGTTACATGGACAGCGATAAAGTGGTTGGCCGCGTCCAGTTCCAGATCCGACTGTCACTGCCGCCCCACGGATACAGTCACAGGACACTTGCGCTTATAGAGAGATTATGAGTGGTTTGCATTGCACCATTTACAGCCTCATCTACACACTTTATAACCGGTGTAAACCCGAAAGAATAAGATCTGGAAGCATGTGAATAGGAGCTACGTTTTATCCGCAGAGCCGGCCCACATTCCTTTACAGGTAGACACAAGCACGTTGTATTTGGGAATCAGTCGCACACAAGACAGTGACTGGACTGTAGTCTGCTCAACTCTGAGAGCATGGATTCACTCTTCGAGCCTAGCAAGGCCACAAGGACCGTACACCCCGTCCCCTCCAGCAAAGACCAATTGTTTCCTAGAGCCAGTATGGACGAGGTGGTGGGTAATAGACAGGAAGGCATCTTGTTACCATGCACATTAAGCTCAGTCACACCGTGGATACAAAGCAAAAGCCAATCACTCAAAATGATTATAAGAAATATAAAAGTATATGAACAGACCGACATAGCTCCGCTAGATTAGCATACGTTATAAATTGGCTAACAAAAAATTCGCACTAACTTCAAGATATCATAAAATATATTTTTAAACAATGCCACAGGCGGAAAGTTTAATGAAATTAATCACAATTAGACCAAAAGAGGTGGGCATGTTACCAAAAAATTATCCACTTAAACATTAAACTGGGGTAAACAATAAGTCTTAGGACAAGGTGGCAAATCCGCCACCTGAAATAAGAAGGCTCAGTACGTAAGCACGCTGTTACTAAATCGATTGCAACATACCTATCAATTCTGCGCCGGTTCTGTCCAGGTTCCAGCAACATTAGTCGTAGTCGTGGTACTGGTCCCAATTGGCCTCGCAAGAGACTGAATAAATATGCCTGACTCTAGCACTCGCGGCCGCATGTGCTATAGCACCCTGCGCTCGATTTTGATGGAGTACATCCCATCGGCGCCTGTTGCTTTCGCACCTGCCGCTTTTTCTCCGCACACACAAGGACTTTCTCTTGCACTCTGGCAACTGCCTGCGTAATCAGATCGTACCATGCATGCCGATCAACCGCCATTAATTCTCAACATATGAAATAAACGTTAGAACGTGATAGGCTTACCTTGATCATGTCTTGGTAACCAAGCTTTCATTTCCCTACTTGTTGCTTCCCAACATTCAGTTGACCATATAATAGCTGCTTCGGTATCCGCGTCAATCCCATATAACACACATGACCAGCCATCTCATGTATCATAGCAAAAATATGCAGTCCACCGCTTACATTACAGTTTGGCGCAGCACCACCGTGACTGTAACTGTCGCACCGACAGATGTCAGAATCTGTCGAAGACATCGTTGATGAAACCGTTCGGGAAAACGTACATCCCTCCAGTACATCATGCAGGTTTCGCCGTCGTATTGCAGAACGGAACGCACAAAAGGGGTATATAGACCATCAGCTTCGTGCCGACAGTAATCTTTTCGTTATTCTACTCATACATGCCCACCGAACGAAAGTGACATTTGCAATGAAACGCAAAGAAGACGTCTGATAAAATATGATATATGCTATCTATGGTCGCTCACGGAAATTTCATCGAAATCCAGGTGAATTCCCGATGCATAAGGGACGGAGAGTGTAGCGCTACAGAACATTTTCGGCTGATAATTACGAATTTCAATCCTTCCAATTGATTCAGTTGGATGTGACGGAAAGCAAGGAACATTCATATCTAGAAGTTTTCAAAGGTGAAAATGGTGAAATTGCAATAATACGAACAGCCGTCAGCCAAATGATTACGTCTGAAATTCACTCTTGTTAACTTCCGAATTAAGAAACGATAACACGGTTAACTAAGTCTACATTCAGTCGTGCTTTTTGAAAAATGGAATAAGTTCATAATCTTAAGGAGAATAAAATAATTTTTCCCTCAGTGTCTGCTTCACTTCTTGGTGTATCAGTGATGTTCCGCTAGATTGGCTTAAGCATTTAAATATACATGGAATAAGGTGATCCCATTCAGCACAATTCATGTCGCAACGTGTACATAATTCTTTAATAACAGATTTATCAGTTTTCTTGGATTTAGCAAAGTTAACTACTGGCTTTACGGTTAAAGTTGCAAGTCAGTGTACCGCACCAACCGGATAAATGTACACTGCTCCTCACAAGAGTTTACCTGTATTCTACTGTTTTAGACTGATTAAATGCAAGTACTGTACAAACACGTAACAATTATATAGAAAGACTCCATTTGGCACATGCAATATTAGATGTTTCGACAAAATTACCTAATGGCTGTTCCGACCAAAGACAGACGCATATGCCACTTATTTATAGTTGTAGCATCTTAGCTGGGTATTATCTATAGTTAACCTACTTCCATCATAAACTAAGAAAGCGGCGACCACTAGATTCACTGCTGTTTATCTTCACTTAAAATAGTGTCCACATAATCGGCGTCCTTAACGGTGAACTTACTGTAACTAGTAGGTGGCAAATATACTATTATTCCAGATTTGGCAAGGCGCACAAAAACATAGTTCAAATGCTTTTCATTAGAAACGAGCTTGATTTATTAAAGTGATGCTAAAGGCAAAGGCATATTTTTGAAATGGGATATCAATATAGAATAACCGACTAAGGAAACGTATGCAAATCCAGGAAAAGCAACTGATGTAGTTGTATGTGCCTGGTGAGTTGCCATTTTGTTCTGAATGCAGCCACATATGCGTGTTGCTCTTTGTGAGAAGCTTCAGGAGTGAAAACACAGGAAAAACATGTCCAAGTATCCAAGATGTTATTTATTTCACCAAAATATTGGCAATCTGATTGGAATGACCCTATTCATAGGTTTCGTCTTGTACCAGTAAACTTCGTTTACTTTTCGTGGCATCGCACTTAACTAGTTACACTTCTAGCCCCTATTTGGCAGTGCACTGATGGAGTGCATTGATGGCCACGTTGAAGTGATAAACTTCTGGATGACCCAGTCAAATACCTAATCAAGTTTAGCCTGCATGGAATCATTTCCCTAATTTCGGATTCTTAGATGATCATTGGAATCGATCGAGTAGTCATGAGTTTAGGGAGGTTTGGAAGAAATCGTTTGGTGTATTTGGAATAGCAAGAAGTTGGTTAATGAAGACCTTACCCCGAGGGATCGGACGCAACTTACATTCGACCAGCTAATCAAAAATATGCCAGTGTGTCTTAACATACATGACTGCGTTTCTCACTCAAAACTGCACAATCAGGAACAAGAGATTGCCACTGGACCGCCGATATCCCCCGTATTGGATAACTTTAAATGAAATACTTAGAGGACAGGGCGTTAACAGACCCCATTAAGTCAACAAAAGTTTGGTAGCCTTATGTAGCCTACATATTTTTGCTGTTAAACGGGCTATGAGGGATGAATTGCTTGCTTACTAAAAATCCATTGATGAGAAGATGCAGGTTACTATGGAGCTGGAATCTTGTACCGTTACAATAAAATTTCGTGACTGCCTGCTTCTGAAAATGAGCGAAATTTAAAAACGACAATATATCGTAAGCCAACAGATACTGAATGCGTACTCAACTACATTTCCGTTAATCCAAAACAGGTTTACGCTGGGATAGTCTCAGCGCCGCTCCTCAGGGCACAAACTCTTTGCACAATGTAAGAGGACAAAAAGGCTGCGCGGAAAGTAACAATGAGAAAATGATGAGGAGGTGGTTACCCATAATGTCCAGTCAATCTTCAGTTGCATAAAGTGCAGTCAAGACCCACAAACGAGTGCATAGGGACAGTAGACATTCTGCACAAGGAAGGCACTTCTTAGGCAAATCGAAGGGAAATAAACATGGAAAATATAAGGGTGATCTTTCAGCGAGTCCAATGTTACATCCGGCGCTGGTACAGCTGAAGGACCCCTTCCCAAATATAGGACCTCTACATGTGTTTATAAAATTAAATGTTACAACAGTACACATGTGTATCTAGGCAAAACAGCGAGCTAATTATGCCTACGACTTTTAGTTTACTGGAGAAGCACTTCAAGACTACCGAGAAACCAGTTTGGATTTCAGGCAATAGTAAGAGACGGCCGTGGCTGTGCTTGCATTAGGCATGGTTCACCAGATTGACTTGGAAACGCAGAGGTCATTAGGAGGCGTATACGAACAACACCATAGCGGTTGATTTCCGAGGCAGTGTAAAGTGAAAAATCTGAGGACTGCTTGCAGAGAATGGAGGGGTAGAACTCTATTGTGCGTGGCGAGCGATCTTAAACCGGCTAGCCTGACGATTATCGCTGTGTGGACCAGATAAACAAGTGCAAAACTGACTCCCATTTTCAACATTATGAGCTTATCCGTCAATGCCATGATACACGAAGGAACATCTGGAATATTCCCAGTGTGCTTAAACTACCTGTGGTGAAATCACGTACTGTGAATGTTATGGCACCTTGGCTCAAGTCTCCGGTAAGGCGGTTATCGCCCGTATCAGTTGTAAAATCCCACAAATTGCACACTGATTCACATAGTCTGACAAAGCTCTTGTATCAGAAGCGAAACGTTACCAAACTGCTATATCAACCGAATGCTTCCAAATATCTTAACTCTTTGCTCCTGATTTTTTTCAATGGCTACCATTACTTTAAATTTATTATCACGCAGTAAACCAGCAGAGACCATCACGTATGCGGGGTATTTTATAACTATTTATAATAGACATAGATCTGGAATTAATACATGTGGCACTGCACGCTGAATGTTAATTGGGTCGGATATGTTACTGCGAACACATACGTCCAGCTGTCGATGCAGGGAAAATTTCTACTACAGTCAGATTGCGTTTTTGGATACAACAGCCATGAGAATTTTAAAAAGGTATGGGATTAATCGGGCGGTCAAACACAACTGGTATTTCCGAATAAACTGCGTTGCTTCCCCTGCAGTGGTTTGTGCTTTCAGTCCAACTACAGCAAGCAAGTAAAAGTTTCATGCAAATATTTCCCTTCCAAATATTAAATGTGAAATTAAGAAGCCACCTTGCGTTTAAACCAGAAATTCAGTAATGTCTCCCCTAAACCATCTAAATAACTTGGTATAATGAACTGCTTGCATAACAAGTTCAATCAGTGTGAAAATTTGTCACAGCATTTCAAAGAGAACAAACGTTATTGTGTTCACTTAACTCAGGTCAGAGTGGAATATGTTCCCTAGCCTCAGAGACGTAGGGCGAGACTGGTCAAAGAAGACATTGGTTTGCAAACTATTCTAAATTGCTGAATCGCTGTGCCCTCAGCGAAACACAGCTTTATGTTCTTGTATACAAGGGTTTTATGCTTGGTGAATATAACAACAATGGTGGTCATTTTCATTATTCGGCAACCGCTACCCATATTCGACAAAATGAATACATGCCATCCCGTCAACAATTTATGATAACAAATTTCAATCCGATGGAGCCATTCGTTTTTCACTGATAAATGCAAAAATGTACCCCGCATACTTGTGCATAATTTTTACAGAAAAACAAATAACCAGGAGGAAAAGTTTTTAAATGTTTCTTCCCTAAGAAGTAAAAGCTAGCTACGTCGGTAATGATCGTGTGACAGCTCGACGAATTTTCTCTCCTGAGATAACCGAACTTTAATTAGGATGAGTCATCTAGACAGTAGTTGAGAATGGATTCACCTACAGATTTATGGGACGGTACGCAACAATTCAACCCGAAGACAAAATAGCAAACAATGTTCCATAGATAAAGGTAATCGGTATGCTTCTGTTTCAGTTGACTAAGTTGAAGAAAGATGTAGGTATTGTCTCCGACAATCTATTAAGCTGTGCTATTATGCTGCTCAGAAGGTAGCATTGCATCAAGCCAGATGTATGGTGGGCAAAACTAACCTAGAAGGACCGAACTTCCAAATAACCGTTGTATTGTGTAACTGCAAGTTTGGTACCAAGTACATTGGCGGAAATGTGAGAAGGTTGTAAGCGGCAATCGCAGAGCACACCCTACAAAAATCGTTAGCAAATGGTCCAAGACTCTATTGCACTTCACATAAATGGGTGCCTTCTGTGCCAAAACTGACATTGAGTGTTAAAAATTTTAAATAATTAGATAACTCCACACTTGGTTAACATTGCTATAGCCCGAACATCCGACATATGATAATAATTTCTGCAGGAAAAGAAGTCGACATCAAACAAGTGGTAAGCATGCATATTTTCCGTTCAAATCAGTAGGTTACTATTATTGATTTTATTTCTAATTTGCATCCCATTGCCTTATGCTTCAGCTTAATTTGTTTGCTTTGACTAAGTGAAGTTCATTTCTACCATTAATGAACTTATCAAAGCATACGGCCTGTGTTCGGTTGGACGAAATATTCATGCATCCTGACCAGTTAACTGGCTAGGTAACATCACTAGCAAAACGATGAAATTGGAACACGTGCACTAGGTTTCTTGGTTTCTATATTTCTAATTTCGAAACCCTGATTGACATATCTCGTCGGTGGTCCACTTACTTTCGTTACCCCTTTGAAGTATCGTTTCGGAATGATGTAAATGCTTTTTAATGTGCCTTTTGTCAAAATCTGATGTCCCGTTCCACTCGAAAACTCCCGAATAGAACTATTTAGCTTAGTTGTCTTTTCCTACCGACGCAGGGCCGCGTCCAGCAATCCGTTTAGGCAAGGGTCTGTTCATAGGTTGGAGGTATGTTACGTTACATCTTACTTGAATTGGTATAAGGTAAATTATTCTGACCAGAACGGGCGTCCATCCTTAGTTGGCTGAGAGCTAAGCAGTTTGATTCTGCACATGATATAAGGTTAGCTGCTAGGATTATGTAAGTTATCCTGCCCATCTTTTTATCGCCACAGCTCAAAAGTATTGTCCTTTTTCAAAGGAGCAGTAAACATAGCATTACAGAATAGGTGCTGTAGAGGTCTTTTCGATAATATCTAGAAGATAAGCTTAGTTTTACTGTCTGATTTGTCGTGTATGCAGAGTGTTATGGCGTGATAAGTGGGCAAAAAATTTAATAAATGTAATTTGAATCGGTAACGGAATTTAAAAAGTAACTCAATTTGTATCCCAACCTAAAATGTTGGCACTTACTGAACGATATTGTTGCGTTGAATACAGACCCTTTTTCGCCAGGTACTGAGAGGACAACCATCATCGCATTTGAAGAACCCTGGATTGTGTGGGATATTGTACGGTTACTCTTTTCGAAAGTGTATATCACTTTTGCACCGCAATCAGGTCCGTCCAATATTCTGAGAAATCCTGACCTCGATTTTATCTGTTGATCGAAAACCAAGCAGAATACTTCAATTTCAATGCAGGGTGTTTTATTTGCCAGATATATAGGAATAACAATCGTAATCATGTGCTATTAACAGATTAACTGAACGATTGTTTCCATAAATCGCAGGAGTTTATGTTTGGATAGCTATGTTAACCACTCTATGAAATTTATATATTTGTATTAGGTAACTAACTTTACTGGTTAACCTGGTTAAACCTCTTACCTTTCCGTTTAGATCAGTTTGCTTTCTTACAGAAAAATCAACGTAGAAAGCAGTTAGACTGACAACATTAAACCACCTTATCACGAGTGTAACCAGTTTGCTGGCCTGGAGTTTGAGCTTTCCAAAGGAAAGTTTAAGGGTTCAGCCCATTTTTCCTTTATCGCAGTCATAATAACACAAAGCAGATTAAAGTATTAAGACCAATGATCCAGGCTACAGTCTCCCTACCAATTCAGATCACAGGCTACCATGGTCAGCAAAATTCAACCTAAAGTAGCTTTTACGAAGGCGTAGCTATTAAATCTTAGACTGAATCAAGCAAAAGCATTAATTACATTACTTTAAAAGATAAATAAGTTTGATCATGATAACGATTGACAACCATGTCACTGCTCCCATGTGTATTAGATACCTGGATGTATTGAGCATGCAGTGCTACATGACATTATACAGTATGATAGAATAGGTCGACGAAAGCAGGTAGAAAAAAACATAGGGTCACCCATTAAAACATCCTGCCTAGGGACAAGCTAGTACTTCCTTGATGAGAACCCGCCTGATATCGCCTGAAAGAATTTTGTCCGTCTAAAGCAAATCAAGTCTTTACGGAACAGTCGGAATCGAAAACATATTACTTTGTGTGGTTTAGCCTGGACGGCCTGTAAACCTTGCAAAAGTGCATATGTCTGGGTTGTCTACATAACTCAACAAAACGCCTGCTTCACGTTAGTTTAGCATAACAGGTTTCAGTGCCAAAGAACCGTAGCGGTGAAATTCAGTATTAATCCGGAAGTGCTTTCCAGGCACCTTAGCAAGCTCCGCAGTGTTCGTCGCGGAAACCAGTTATAAGTGTAGCAGATGGTCTGTTTATAACTAACAAGGATACGGCCAACGCGTTTAACAAAGCTTTATCTGCACTATCCAGTGTAAATCTCATATCAGCTGCTTTCAACAAAGAACACTCCACCGCTGACTTAATCCACGTACCGTCGCTGCAATGAAATTGATGAAAATACGATTGAATTTGCTCCTGCACACCTATCTTAACGTGAAAGTCACAAGGCGGAGAACATTTGGGCGAATTGCCATGAATGTCTCTAGACTGTTTGTCCTGCTCTTTGAATGATCTTATTACGATGCACAGGCTCTTGCTACGTAGATTCATGGAATTCGCTCAAATTTAAATCACAGAAATCGTGAAGTGTCATCTAACTAAAGTCCAATATTTCTCCTCCCTGGGTAATCCAAAGTTATGGAAGTTAATATCATAGAAGCGCTGGTAGAATACACTGTGCGCAAACTAGCTCAGAGTATAACAGCAGCAGGGATTCTGCTGAACTAGTTACTGAACAGCTTTGCTGCTAACCAAAGATAGCTAGCTGGAATTAGTCGCTGCTTGTGTAGAAAACGATATCACTGTATGGAATGATCTAATGTTTTCGACTAAATGGACCAGCGTGATCTATTTCACAATGTTCGAAGTTATGGAATCATTGACCTTGTTTCAGGTTATACATGCAAAGTTTTGTTATACCGTCAGCATATTTCTAATGTCCACTACTCAACGTCAGACCTAGCTGAAATCCAGTGGCACATAAGTTAAATCTCAATATAGGAATCACGTTCATACCTAATATGCGACAACAGTCTGGCTAGTGTAATCTAGTTGAACATCTTAGTGGCTGCAAACGACATAAAGTCCTGGCAATACATTAAGAGAGTAGGTAATCATATGGCATTGCGTAATGACCTCGACGTGTTCTAAACCTGGTCATTCGAAAACAGGTGATGTAGAACTTGGCGAAATACAAGGCTTTAAATATTCACCGTCAGCGTACCTTTAGATATCGCCTCTGGAGCAAGCACTAAATTATGCATCCCAAAAAAGCGATCTCCCAGCAATTCTGGTACATGAATTTCGCTGCAAGACGGTGGCTTAAGCCTTACATAGAAAAATCAGTCAGTATGATGGCTTCCACAGGAAAGAGTTCTGAAAATTTATTTTTCAGGTCAGTCCACTTTCCGATAATACTGAATACATATGTGAGGCCCGATATGTAATACGCGGTCGAAGTCTGGTATAATTGGCTGCGCGTCAAACTCTACAATGTAGAGCGACCAATATTTTTGGGCCTGGTTCCAATTCCCTTGACAAAAGACAAATACTAGCCCTTGGATTTCACATCTGTGAGTGTCGAAATCAGTGAGCAGAGCACAACAAGATCCAGTCACTCTGTCGAACCCTAATCATACCCGTCGCGACATTTTTCAACTTACCCGCAACAGTAAGTGGGGAGTCCACCAGCATGCACCACTTACCAGTGGTTTCCGAAAAAATGATCTTTCTTCAGGTATCAATAACATGAAAAACCTTTACAAAGCTAATCGATTTCGCCTCTACATTTCAATATCGAATAAACTCCATGATAACCCCCGAATTTTTCATCACATATTGTATGCCATTTCAATCAAAGGATGAAATAATGCTGATTTTCAGATTTCTTCGTAACATCTGTGATTGGGTCTACAGTATCGCTTGTATGAATAGGTTTTTAAATCAAATAAGCCAAGAGCTTTCTGTTCTTCCGTCAAATTTTACCTTTCATATTCTTATCTTAACTACAGTTATCCAACGGGACTGTTCCTGCAATCTCTAATTTTTTCTTTTTCTTTTCCTTTGCTGCTCATTGTTAGCACATCGATTATTTAACAAAGCGACAATGCACAAATGTATATATTAGGTGATATATAAAGATGTGTCCTGCTCAACCGGATTCGACACATAGCTGGATGCCGTTTACAGAATTATGGGCGCTATCTGTCCCTAATTGTCCGTTATTGCCTAATTCTATAAAACACATTTTAGGCATTTTTTTCCGTTACAAGCAGCACAGCCAAACGTGTCACTCTGCACAGGTGAAGCAGGTTTAAGGCTGATATTAAATGATTTTGCATACAAATCGCTTTTGTTAGGGTTTGTTCGTGGCAACTTTCCGCCCTTGACGCAAGAGTTTTTTCAGGCCAGGACCGTTTAAAATCATGAGATCCCAGTCAGTTCCAGGCATATTCCGAGTTTTAAAGTTGTTTTATTAAGCATAACATGATACTGGAATGGCTGCTTGCTTTTTCAGTATTCTATGTTCAAAGGCAATGACCGGTTCTAGAGTTGTTCTGCCATTTTTGGAAATCCGTTCATTACCGATCTCGCGATAAGGCATGCTGGGTAGAATTTTAAATTCGTTGCGGCCTGTTATGTTACGAATACATTGCTGAAAGCTAGGACTTTTTAATAAAACTTTTGAGGTTTAGCAGCTATATCCATGAAGTTTACACTTAGGTTCATAATCCGTATAAAATTATTGTTCATTGTTCACTGTAATAACTAGTAACATACCATACATGTCTCACCTATTCTGATTTTGATCGACTAATGGAATTCGTCATCCAGCTTCAAGTATCCTAGTGCCATACTGTCTCAATGCAACTTTTGATCTACGCAATTATTTGAACTTGTTTGTAAGTTGGAATGATTGCTGCTCCGATTGGGCATTTATATGTATGTGACCTAGATGACTTAGTTGGCTGGACATACTACTCACTTGCCATATCATATAGAATGCCTCAGAAGTTGTACAAGATACACCGCAACATAAAAACTTATTAAAGTTGCCATAAACATGAATAAGCTCAATAAATGTTAGAAATACTTAGTTGTTTTCAATCGGATGTTTAGACACGCCGATGCATACAAACATGATGACAAGCAATTTAATGCATCGCAATTCATGCCATTATGTGCAACGTTTATGGACTTAAATAGGTTAGTTTTTCCAATATGTATACAACGAGCGGAGGAAAGTTCAATTGACAGTATATGCAGAGATGACTTTTCAAGGTAACTAACGAAGCACGATGAACGGCTGCTTGCACGCAACGCAGGCTTAATCTTAGTCTTTCGGTAATAGGTGGATCCTAAGATATGAGGACATTTAGATTTGTAAGCACTCTGTTGCGATGATAAGTAAAGCAGCTTAACTAACTTTATTAATAGATGGCGGATACAGATGAACAAACGCTTGTATCGTACCTGTAGTTCTTCAATCTTCAATGTGATTGTGCTTCCTATGTCGTTCGTGATTCGCCAGATGCATAACGTATTGGCTTTATTCAATCCTCTCCAGAAAATTATATTCGATGTGTTAGCATTCAGCTCTGTTCCGCAATTGTCTACAAAACAACCTCTATAATTAGGCATTGAGTTTTGGCCGAAATTACCAACAATAATCAAAACTAATATCTTTAAGAAATCCAAGTATAGTACAGTTCCGAATTTATACCAATATATCAAATATTTGTTCCACTGTTTATAACTACATCACTCATTTCGACAGAGTAAAATAATACACAAACCGCGCAATAAGCACAGTCCCTCTTTGCCCACGTCTATTGAACCTAAGCAAAAAATTTAGAATTTAGTGAGACTATCCTAAAGATGCAATTGAACATTGCTAACAAGCATTACTTTTCAGTTTAAAGTGCTTGAATCAGACTAAAAATTGTTCGTTTGGGAAATACAAGTAACTTTTGACGCTGAATTCATAACAATTTCTCAGATAGAAGTGCATTAATAGGTACCAATAACATAGAACTGTATCTATTCTAGGTGCAAGCAAATGGGATATCTTATAGTCCCAGTAAGGTAACAAAAGTTACTCACGAAGGAATAAGCTTTATTTTTATTAAACCATTTTAGATTTAAACCACATTTGCATATTTTTCATCATGCATAAATTTGGTGATATTGTGTTGCGCATGAGCGAATACGGAATAATTTTCTGCGATTGGGTAAAATTATATTTTTGTTATGTTAAACTTGACCTACTTTAAACTGATCTGTTTGAAATTCTCTATATCAGGATTATGTTTATCTCACCGAATATGTGCACGCAAGTTAAACTATACCGTTACTTCCACATAAGAGTGCGGTGAAACAGCAAAAACGTCGCGCAATCATCACATACGCTGGCATCAGTTTTGCGTGAGTATAGAGAATCTGCTTGGTAAAGAAACTGATTGCCCATAAAATTCATCAACTATATTTGTGTGTCCATATCTAGCCATTTTTCTTTTCAATTAGGACAATACGGACAATCTGTTTTAAATGTTGTGTATTGTTTAATGCAACTTATGTTAACGATAACTTGGGCAAGTTCATGGCAAGAACAACGTATGCTTCAGTGTTGGCTAAAGGTGTAGTTTAACCCGATTTTTTTATTACCGTTGGTATATTTTTAATCACACGTAACGTGTTACCTTTTGGACTGCCCGAATTGATGTTTACCGGGAAGCATGTATGAGCGTACAATGCGTTGTTCAATGCAAACCGGTTTACATGCCGATCTATTTTACCCGTTTATGCATTTGTTTTCTCTTACTTCCCACCAATTAGTGCACTGATGAAAGTGAATTTTCCTTGTTCCCTACCCTTGTCTTTATCTATTAAGGTGTTCAGCAGATTAAATGTGATTACATTCATTGTGCTTACAGCTGAATTATATTCATCACATTGTTAGCACAGCTGGTGAAGTAACCTTTAACCGATAAGGGAAGTTAGCAATAGTCCCATTCAATGCACTGTTCATACGTAACAGCGAAAGGAATGAACGCCAACAGACTGAAGCCAAGGAAGGAATCGTACACGCCAGACAATTATTGTGTTTGTACGATGTCAAACGTAGCAACTCGATATCAATCTCCTGGTAAATTGGAATTTTGGAATGCACGTGTAGATAGCTACTGATACACAGCACTCGAGAACGGGTTATCATGCATGCAACTCGCATATTGCATGCATTTACGGCTGATGAATATGCAGTAAACAGTTTTGGTTGTTACGATAGGTTACACCGCTCAAAAATGCTTTATTAGTTTGAGGTGCAGAACATTCAAAGCTGGCTTATGCCAGCTGCTTTGGAAGCCTCATTTTGCACTAGCATAATGTTCTAAGTAAACACGTATGTATAAATTTTCTAGGGCAGTAGGGTGACTCACGTAGAATGTTCTGGTGGAAATTAGGGTATACTGCAGAAGACGGAAACAGGTCAGACAATAATATTGGCATTTAACAAAATGATCCGAAAGTAAAGAAAAAGGTACTTTGTGTGCTATCGTTATTTTGAAGGTTGCCGTTGTTAATTCATGAAGTATACTACCGGTCCAGTTGGTTCGCTCGGAGTTCTATTAATCAGTTTACATTGACGAATCAGCACATCTTTAGAATGAGTCCTTATAGTTATATATGGGTAGTGGAAGTTAGGTTTATCGACTGCTATGCTGTGCAGTAATGTGCGGTCGTACATTATCCGCCTACCCCTGAAATACCCTGACAAGGCCGGTAGTGATGCAAAAATCGCGTTAGCGTTCACAGTTGAAGAATAGAAACCGATTATTCTAAAGCAGTGCTGCATGTACACATTGCTTTTATGCAAAATGGACCAACAGGTTTGACGTTAGATGGTTGCTATCACCGTAGAAACAACGCCGTTATAGTAATTTTGCGAAACATGAGTGATTGAAACTAAGGCACCAGTTTTCGTTTAAATTGCAGTAGTATAAACAGATTGCTTTAAGATGTATTTTTGTGTTACGTTGTCCAAATATGACTTACTCAACTCACCATAGTTATTCTTTTTCCATTGATCTTCAACCGCACCTATTAAAAGTATGCGCTTGTGTAATGATCCCAACTACTTTAACGCTCAGTTATAAAGTACTTGTGGAAAACAGCAGTAGTTGAGCGAACACCGAATTTCGTGGCTTAATCTTTACATTTTCTATGGATTAGGCCGGTCTGGATATAATGAAAAAGCCAAAATTGCAAGAGCCAAAATGAAATCTGGCTGCGTTAGTTAGTTGCTGAATGTTAACGCGGTTACGGATTTTGCCACTTTGAATTCAATTGTTACTCTGCCGATCTAGTTGACACATGTGGTGTTTCATACCAATTATGGCCCTATGATTGGAGGCTGCTAGGTTTAATAAGTCTATTCTCTGACCAATTATACATAACCGCCACGAGCAACAGAACAAATAAAACCGGAGGAATTATTTTGGTTGTAGTATGCTTGTTTGTTACGATATATGCAAATTACTACATATTCTTTGAATGAATGTCAAACAACAGATGCAAAGTTAGTGTTCATTCCTAGTCAGCCGATCTTCATGTGAACAACAACCAAGCGAAATGGTGTCCCAACGGTTTTAAGCACTCCAAACTTTATCCAGCTACGTTTCTAAGGTGACCACGTCATGAAGGACATCGAGAAACGGATAAATGCTCCACTCAGAAGAGCATAAAATGCGGTCCAACTTATGTTGCTCACACCGACAAGATCCATTATTATGTGCTCCATTAAGAAACCGATAACGAGACACTAATATTCCACGATATATACAAATTCACTTATAGTTACTTTAGACCGATTAACGGAAGTCTAAGTGTAAGAATCCCTGAACATAGCCCCATGTTGTTTCGCAGCTGGATGGTGTGTGTGACGAAGGAATCAATTGATCCTGGATACCGATCCGGTCCACCTTTACGCGCATTTACCCCAACGCCCAGTTGCGACTCATACCTACCACACGAAGCTTTGTTCTACATGACTGCCAGAGCAACTCATCAGGCATTTCGGTCTCTCACCTCGTTTACCAGTTCATCTGCAGTTACGGTGACATGTACCTAAGCAGAACTGACCGTCAGTTGGCTCAGATGGTATCACAACATGTGCCGAGTTCGTTGGGATAACTGATGACGCAACAAAACGGAGTTGATTCGTGGGTGAACCGGAACCCAGCATCATCGAACACCAAACATCTCTTGGTAGCTCGGGATCTTATGAACCCGCAGACCAAGTTCCGGGATAAGTAAGCAACGACGATCCGATAATTTTGGCAATTAGTGAGACGTTGCTAATTAGGGCTTATCAACTTGTGTTGTGGGCTCAGAAACTATTGAGACAAGCAATTAGATTACCGTGGTCTTGATTTTGACATTTTGATTGGTGTGCTAAATTTTCCATGGATAGATCCGTGCATGTATTTTGCTTGTATTGTGTTTGATACTGACGAGATCAATGGACATTTGACATATCGCAAATTACGTCTTCTCTCTGCTTTGAAGAAATGGTTGAAAGAGACCCACTGTTTTAATCTTCTTGTGTTATTTTAAAGGGCAGCCGCCGATCATCCGCAAGCATCCGTGCCATTCGTTCGATATTATCCTGGATCGCGGATCTCTACGGTCGACCCGATGTGCCTTATTCTTGGCAGGTTCCGTTTCTGAAGCCTTTATACCACTTAAGAAAAGGCTTTTATTACTCTCTTTGACAAATTTGCCGTTATACGAGTTATCCCTCCGGCTGCCATATCTAGATCGCATCGTACACCATTGCTTTACTTTAGTGCTGTGCACTATAGTAGATTTGTTGATAATATTCTCATTGCGTATGCATGGGCTCCTTAATCGCACAAGTCCGGGTTCCAATAAATGAAAGCATTCACGGAAATTCGCAAACGCATATTTTACGTGAGGTTGAATGTGTCAGGGCCATCCTTCCATTTCCAACAAAGGCGGCCCGTTGGCCGATATCATCTCAGCGAATTTTGTTGCAGTTCATATTTACGCGCGTAAAAATCTATGCTTACTGACCAAGCAGTTTTCTTTTTTAAATTGCGTGATCATTGGTACAGAGGAGGTTAGTTGACCTGTAGAATACTAGCCAGATAAAAACTTGAATCACGCAAAAGTCAGAAATATATGCTTACCTGGTCTGTATTTGAGTTTGAAACCAGCATTCTGGGTATTATAATCGCTGATGAATAGCAACGACACTTTGTTTTGCTGAGAGCTTAGTGACAGTTGGTTTCTATGTCCATAAGCAACTGCAAGCCGTGGTGCCATACAGTCCGGACCGTCAAAGATCACCAAGTAATCCAAAAGGTAAATATGATTATATTCCAACTGAAAGTTTTGAATAGATTTTGCAAAACATTTGAAATGAAGTCAACTTTCATCGGCGATTTTCGCAGTTAAAAGTTTTAGGTAGAAAAATCAAAACGAAATTTGTTTTCCTATGAAATTCCAGCGCACGCTTTCTGTTTACAGCAGAGAAAAGCCTTACAGTTCGACATAGCCACAGTGTGCAGTCATTTGGTAGAAGAATCTGACGTGATAAATTTTGCTCAAATGAAGCAGCTCGGGAAATAAACAATGATTATGATAGGGGCTATTTTGAGATTATGAAGCTGAATGATGACAGCCTGTGAGCGTGACCTGTTGAGAACCAGCTGAGAAAACCATTACGTTACTGTTGTGTACGTAATTAGAAAATGTGCGCGAACTAAGATGTAGTTCCGGTTACGTCTACCTAACGTCAATAGATATAGGATTGAAACAATATATCTAGGTATGTACGTATATACTTGCGTTTGTCAACGACAATTGCTAAACGTGTAACTGATATGCATATCACCTCCTGTCTGGTCATGCAGAGCGTATAGTCCATATTGGTCGGATGGCTTTGTTTTCCAGTTTGTTCTGAGTAGCGTACTTATTTTCGTAGTCTCGCTAGGGCAAGTGGATCGGGATTGATCCGCTCGCTTATTACGTGTAAATGACCTTCTAACATTGACTGTGTGGTTAGCTTCTAACTGACGAGTGCCAAACCGCAAGACGCGTGTTATTCTTATGGGTCCAGATAACGTGGAATGCTCGTTTTACGTTTGCTTTACATTGATGTGAAGGTATGCTGCCGATTGGAGCGGAGTGGCCTGATTTCGGCAGGTGGATTGTTATCTCTGGTGTCGTTCTAACTCGTCGATTTTGTTATTTACCGGTATACGGAGTGTGGCTTTCAGCTTTGTGCGTAGATCTCGCCCAAGCGCACATTTTGCAGTTGTCTTGTACGTTGTTTGTCAATGTGCGGTGCTGTACTGAATGTGTTCTTTAAACTTGTATCTTTTCAAGCTGTGCCAGATAGACAAAAATCTTGACTTCTCTAGTTCAACAACCGTTTGATGCGCTTGACAATGCCATTTGTCGATGGATTTTACGAGGTAGTGTGTGACTGACGGATAGTGTAAAGTTAGCAACCGGATGAAACTCAATGTTTGTAAACTGCAGACCGTTATCCGTCACTATCTTCTCCAGTAATTCGAAGCAAGAACGCATGTGCTTCAGTCATCTGATAATACCCGCAGTCGTTACTTCTCTGCATGCGTGAACTTCGGCCATTTACCAAGAAACACGCCGCAACCGAACAGTTATTGGATGAAATGGCGCTGTGCTGAGCGGGTCCATTACATCAGCAACTATATTTGCCGCTGCGTCATAGGATAGTCTAAGGGCTGTATAAGAGAGCTAAAGAGATTTGAGTTGTTGTCGGTTCTTTGATATGAAGAGCACTCATTAATAGGATTCTTAATTCTTTGTGACATGCTGAGTTACCAGAAACATGAAACAACATTGATTATGTACGTATCAGGTTGTACGTATCAGGTTTGTGTTCTTGGGCACATACATGATATCTGCACTACCCTCCGGTGGGCATGGAATCTGCACCAACGCAGTAAACACCAATCTACCAATGAGAACTCGTGACGCAACCGGTGGTATGGACGAATACCGCCTTTTATTTTATGATTATGCGGCCAACCGTTAAGCACAAGCATTGGACGCAGCAGATTATAACATCATCGATGGTAGCATTCACGAGTTCTTATTGAGTCAAAGTTGAGATTCGCTGGCTGTTCAAGGAAGACAGCAACAACCTGCCATTGACTTCCGTGATAGTTTACGTTTCACCTGACAACAGTCTAAAGAGACCAGCTGCTGTTGGATTTCAAGTCATGGATAAAATTTGCTTTTTAAATCGTATGTTAGTAAGCGTGCGTACTAGCGATGTATACCAGCGGTCAGATGCCATTTACTCCCCGAATAAGTAAATAGTTGTAGCTGTATAATCTGTGGGAAAATTGAAAGGTATCCAAAAGAAGAATAAGTGCCACGTCTCAGAGGTTCGAACGCAAGTGAAAGCTTTCCTTTTTCTGGCAGTTTAAGAAAGCTGTGCTGCATACGTTTTCCTAGAGACATAGCCACTAACCCTCTCATCCCCTTACTGGATTCGGGATAATACTGCACCCAACCCAGTGTTTGAGACGTCAGTGGATAAAATTGTGGCACATGTACCTACAATAATCGCCATTACTGGTGTGCAAGCAATGCGGCGTTTTATCTATCAAAGGCAACGTTTTGGATTTAACACCAAACAAGTATACCGACTTCCCTTATTTGTTCCTGCAGTAGCTCGGCAATATTCGTGAAGTCCCTTAAATAACCATGAAAAATCTCTACCCCAATAGGGTTTTGTAGACAAGGTGCGTCGAGAATTGCTAGCATGTTCACTACACTAGGATTTATACGTCAGTTGTAATAATGTGGCCTAAAATCTCGATATCGCCGTCATTACATTTGCACTTTCGAAATTTAAGCAATGAGTAAGCTCGTTTAATCGACGTAAAAATGCGTGTAGGCATGAATCTGGTACCTCTAGTGTCTTACCAAAGACACATTTATCACCCATGTAACCTATTTGACGGGGTAAATTTGCAGGTGCGTGGACCATACAAACTACTAAGCCGCTAGGAGTAAACTAACGCCCATGGGCAAACATTTATACTAAAATTTCTGTCAATGATTGTAGTTGCCGCGTTAAAGACGTGTGAAAGGAAATGCTCCTCAAGGTAAATTTGGAAAATATCTGGCAACTGCCGTTCGAAATAAAACTTCAGATCAACCATCTGCCGATTGATAGCCTATGGGTAGTGCCATGTTCTTATTCGGCCATCCTTCTTGACAACTGTAACCATAGTGTGTACCCATTCAGAACAAATGCTCGGTTCAAATGGAAAGCGAAACATTTAGATATTGCATGCGCCTAAACCTCAGCGCCAAAAGAACCGGGTAGATTTAGCGCCATAGAGGGCACCTATAACTTAAACAACCATTGCCTAAGATAACCAGATCGTAAACTCGTGCAAACTGATAGCTACTGGGCGTATATCTTAACCTATACATCACTGCAACTAATGTTATTAAATAAGTTCACTTTACGTTGATCAACCAGTTGTTTGTCTCTGATCCCTACTTATATGTACAAAATGGCTTTATATTTAGCTCTAGTGATCTTTTGGAACACATACTCCAGAATATATCGGTTGTTACTTACACACCATAAATAAAAAGACCTTTAAATTTGATGGTTACTGCTGATTGCTTGTTCAAGCAGAATGAAAGTTGTAAGGCATTATATATTAGAAGCGGATGTATGGGTTACCGGATACATATGGCCTATTGTAGACAGCATAGTTTCCCGACGCATAAGTTAGCTAGGTATTTGCAAAGTCTATTGCAACCGTTGCTAGTGCGAACGAATACGTCCGTAAAAAGTTTTTAAGAAGTGACGCAAAACTTCCCGTGTCTTAAACTTTAGTTAGAAGCAATGATGGCGAGATTCGACGTTAGCTTGTCAATATGAGACGCCTCGGAGATAGCAAAGCCCTGCATAAATGTGGACAAGAAATTGGGAGAGATGATGTACATTACGTTTAATCAAATAATTAAGGGAATAGCATTGTGTATAACATGTATTATTTCAAGTTACAATCCAGATGATACACATAGGCGCAGAAACTTGCCATAGGCTTCCCAAAATTCCCGTGATGGCAAATTTTACATGGGAGACGTTGAAAGGAGGGCGCTGACTGCCTCTCGTAGCTCACGAAATGCTTGGCGGCGCTACGTATATAACAATTTATATTCATGAAGAGGAATATGAAATGGGAGTTTCTAAAGTTCTTAACACATGCTGTAACAATTTGTCACCATTAGACTCAGGCAGACACAGCAAATCCAGGAAAGCGCTCGCATGAACTTGCGGTGGCTGCCACTCTGAGTCTGGCGGCGGTACAACTTTACAAAAACCCAATATATCCATCTACGACTCATTAACCCCTAAACACTTGAGGAGTGATTACAAATTTTACCATGGAATTGCAGAGTTTAAATAGCACATTACTATTCATTAACTGCTTTGTCCATAGGAATACGCACAATCTAAATACTATTATATTGACTAAACCGACAGACACAGATGGGGTACTCTACCATATTTCGTTTCACACAGAGTATGTCCATCCTGGAATCATCTTAGGCATTTCCCACTGATTACAGCCACTGCTCACCTTGAAAGAAGATAGGGAAACCACCCGAAAGGAAGCGAAAAATCAACTGTTTCTTAGTGGAAACTAGAGATGATTGGCGAAAAGCGAATCGCATCGCTTTTTCATCCGCTTCCATTACGTAATCCGAAACGATTTGGTTGAGATGGATTTCTTTATAAATTAGTAACTATAGTAGCTATCCGCAGGGTCAAACAAGAGCAACATTAGGGTAATTTCCAAGAATGCCGTGCGCTGCGCCCGATAATGGTGAACTAGAATGACCCAATTCACACAGATAGAGAAATTACTTGCGTCTAAAATATTAGTATTCAAGACTACGAACAAACACTCAAAGGACAAACCGCGACAGAACCAATCAGAACAACAGCAGAATACACGGCGCGTCTATTACGGCCACTAGACACAAGCTAGTATACAGGCTGCACGAAGTGATGCGGCAGTTGCGATGCACGCGATAGCTACAGATCACCATTTCGGTTTGGATGATGTCGGACTCTATAGGAGGGGGATAAGGTCAGCACTCCAAAGACTGATGGCTGAAGCCTTGAGATTAGCATGGTGAATATTTGAGTGCACCGAATGGACAGGGCAGAGCTTTCCTATGTGTAGGAAACTGCCTTAAGCGGACCAGTCTGAGGATCGTCGGCTGGCAGATCCCGGCTCAGAGAATAATGATCACCTAATCCTTGTGCCCATCACTAACAAGGATTCCGTGCGTGGATTGTGACCGTTCCATGTGTGTATTAGAGTGACTCTGGTCTGTAACGCGGTTGGCCTAACCTGGGTCAGTTTGTCAGTCAGAATGTGAATAGTGAGCAAATATCCCAGGTGTAGACATCAGAACAAGAGTCAGCGAACATGCTCGTTTTCGGTGGATCTCGTCAGGCTGGTAGACCATAAGTAATAAGAATAAAATGAGTTAAAACATCAGACGGGAGTAAAGTTCAAAGGATAAAATTAAAAGGTCTAGGTCATCTAACTGGTAAGGTCAAGTGCTTGATTCACAAACGATCAATGGCATGTCAGCTGCAAGTTTCTCAGCAGGGGTTACTGTAATATGGGGCCAGGGAAGAGAGAGAATCTGAACGAATTGTTTTTGTGCACATAGGTCTGGGTTCTGGAGGCGGATGGCGATCGCTTCGGCTATTGCTAATAGGCGACATCTTACCGCTCGTGTGAAGCATCCAGATACGCGGTAAATTGGTTGAAAACTTTGGTGCCTATCGATCCGGTGGTTAAAATCAACTAGATGTGCCAACACGGCGCTTTCCACTGTTTTAGTCCCACCTGTACATAGCCAACTCGGGCAATGCTCACGGATTCTGTCAGACAGTCTCCTGGTTGTTCTTCCGATATAACTTGCTCGACATGAACAAGTAAAGAGTATACACAGAAAGAAGTACTTGACCGAGGAAGTCTGTCCTTGAGTTGAAGCCTTACGATTGGTGTTGAAGTAAATCTTAGTCGTAGGCTTGCCGCGTAGTACGTACGGTTTATGGCGTCGGATAGCCTTCTAGACGTTGCCTGTGCTATTCCATCTCCTTTGAACGGCAACGACAGATAAACCAATTTCTTTTCAACCGTATCGGTTCTAGCCCTCGCTTCTCGGCACTCCATATTTCTCCGAACAAACATTTCGGGATAGCCGTTTCTCTCAAAAAGGCCAACTAAGGAATTCAGCTCGTCTGAAAGCGTGTCCTCACCACATATCCTTCTTGCCCTTTGGCTTAAACATCTAACCAAGTTCCGCTTCTAAATTAGTGGGACAAAGCTGGCAAAATGTATGTACTGTCCATTCCACGTGGCTTTTCTGTGCACCCTGCGTTGGATCGACCCATCTGATCTGTGAATAATCAGCTATTACTCAAACACATACCACAGACAGGGATACATAATGGAAGCTGCTGCTACCTATGGTTATGTATAAAACCACACACCTTTAATAAGCTTGACGGCGCATAATCACTTAAGTATTATTCTAGCCGGTACTTAAACGCGTGAATTGTACAGAAATGTGGCAAGCAGGGAACTACTGATATAACTTAGGCCCATATGTAGGCCTGCTTTTACATATATATATATATATATATATATATATATATATATATAATATTAACACCATCTAGTCGAGCAGGTGGATCCGTATTCGGACATCGTTTTATAAAGTGGATGGCTAAAATTAATGAGTATCTTTGACTGAAATTTGGTACAGCATTTGACATGCATGGCTATAATAACATTGGCAAATTTAAGCTTCCAATTGCTACTACCTCCTATTAGTCGCGATTTTTATACCAGTTGGCTGTAATTACTACACCAATCAGTAAATGGTTCAATCGGTCTGCTTAAACTATTTTTTCCAAAGCGAAACTATACCCTCCTTTACCCACCGCTTGTTTTCAACTTTTTCTGAATCCATACGTTATCGATCCGTTTCAAGCATTTATAAAGTAAGAGAAGCAAATTATCCCAAATGATCAACTCGGAATTTAACAAGCTTAACTCCTGCCGTTGTAAGTTTGCTTTTCTAAGTAAATGATGGGAGTGAAGATGATGAATTAGCTGAATGGCAGCAAACCTTCTGACAACTTCAGGTATATTCTTAACAGTTCGGGCTTATAAAAGCTTATTAAACACCCTCAGAAGTAAATTCTGTACTTGCGCGAGGTGCTTTTATGATGCTAAAACTGAAATGAATATCATCGACTTGCTGGAATGACGACCGACCGAATATGTTGAATGTCAGTAGGACATTTTCTTGCCCAAAGACAAGGGACTTTGCTTAATAATATTTCTTAGCCTACATACTGGCTCGAGCTGCTCAATTGCCTTTTGTCTCATTCGACTTTAACGTTGCAAATGCAAATTTCAGAACACCATTAATTGATTTCTCAATGAAAACTAAACTATCAGACCGACAATGTAGTGCTTGAGGCTTAAAAGCTAGGTAACCTAAGGCATATGTAAGTTAATCGACAAGAAGCTCAACAACTGCGAAACAAACGGAGAAGGGATATAGCTTTGGTCCAACAATTAATCCAACAGCAAAACGCTGAGTATTTCTGCAGCGGTGAACACTATTCATATTAAAGAATGTATGCAGGGCACAAGGATATAAGGTGTTAAAATTTCTGTTAAATAAGTAACTAACAAGGATAACTTTTGACGTTACAGGCCAGAGAAAACTTGCAGTTTCTATGGAGTATATAAGACAATATAAGAAGGGGAACTAACACACCTATTATTAAAGTTTGTTTCGCATTTTCGCATATATGTATCATGTCAAAATCTACAGAAGGAAAGCCTTTGACAGAATGTTTCTAATGCACCATAAGTGGGTTTTCCTTCGTCTTGGTACTTTTTCGATCTACGCTATAAAATTAATTCAATCTTGCGTGATGCTTCTGCTTAATGTTCCTTCTGCTTTGTTCGTTTGTTCTGCTTTGTTTTAATCTTGTATTCACAATCCTTATGTGAAACACTGGCACGTAACTTTTTGTTAACTATGTAGAAGCGTACACATTGTGCTATCTCTGATAGTGTTTTGTAGATCTCCGAAAGAAATTTATGCAATAAGTTTGTTCGGTCATGCTTAAGCATGGTGGGTATTTGTAAGTGCATTTGAAATTTTATACCTGCATCCTTAGTAAATCACTACAGATACCTGAGGTCCTATGCAGGAAAACCAGTGGCATGCTGTGAAACGAAGAGGCGAATAAGCAATAAAATATCCGTACCAATTTCCTTGGCATTTGCTGCCTGGAATACCCAAAGCAGCTGTGGTAAGTTGTTGCAATTTTGCTGATGTCATCGTAATTGCAAGGACATTGATAATATTATCTTTTCGTCAAAGAGTTTTAAAGACACCTCGACTTGTATACTGATCTGCGCAATAGTAATCCACTTAATTGTCCAAATTCAGCTGTCGCTTATGGTTTGCGGCTAAACTTGACAATGAAATCAGTGGACAAGCAGCCTCAGCAAAACAAGGAGTACCTGAATCATATTTGTGGTGTGGCCTAAATAGACGGATTTAATAAGCATATCCTCCATTTATTTACGTATTGGACACATCAAATTTTCCATATCTGGTATTTTATGAACGTCAGTATGGATGTATATTTAGGCAGCGTGCGTAGTGTGAAATATTTTATAATCGATAACTAATCATCCTCCACATAAAACGAGTGACCAAATTATAACCGCTGGTATGTCTATTGGAATCTCTTGCGTTAATGTTTTTATGAACGGCCGTCCCTATTGGACACGTTTGTGACGAATTTGGGAGACCGGAAAATTTATTTTTCAGTACCCCTTACATATGCCGCTGACACAACAATAATCATTAACATTTCTTCAGAAATAAGCAAAATGCTATTTCTAAGTTGCGAGTACACATTACTGCTAACGTAATGCTAAACTGGAACGTTTGTCGGGCCGAAATTGGTCTCGAATGGGTCCAACTTTGACAGCCAGGGGCATAAAAACCGCTGCTTTGCGCATTCAGAACTGCACTGACGTCTATTAAAATTACGCTTTCACTAAAACCTTTTGAATTCTAAGTGAAGAACAGTAGTGATAAAGACTTATACAAATATTTAACGACACGTCAGGACAGAGTACGGTTTTTTAATTTTGATTTTTTACCTCCGCAATTGACAAACACACCAAATTGGGATTGTTTTTTGTCCCAATGCGCAAAAAGCCCTGGGTAGCAATAATGGCCCGATACACTTAGTAATAGTCATTTCGTTGGGTTTTGATAAACTTCCTCCAACATCTGTGAAAGTTATCTACGCGTACTAGAAAGTGCTTTATTCTTATCCCTTATTTTTAGTATGTGTCTTAGAGGAAAAGGCTAAAGCCAGTTTTGCCTAGGTTTTAATCTAATGAATTGAAAACAATAGGTCAACTAATTCGTCGAAATTGGAGTGAACTATGTTTTTGAGTAAAATCTGCATAGAAACGAATGTACTAGACATTAAATGCTGATTATTCGGAAAATGCACATCCAGTGAAATTAACTTCACTTATTGAAATCTAACTTAGGTGTATAGTATAAAATAACAGATCACTTACGGCAATATCATCGAAATCCAGATGAATTCCATGAGCGTTCGGAGCGGATAAAGTAGCGCTGCAAAACATTTTGGGTTGATAATTTCGAAGAAAAATAGTTCCCTCTGACTCTGGTGGACGAGAGGGGAAGCATTGTCTCTGATAGTCTATACAGGTTAAAAAAGAGATGTTGGTGAAGTGGAATTAATTCGGGTGATCAGTAAGCGTTTGTCTGAGTCAAAACGTGGGGGCTACATTAGATTTCAAACTTAGTACCTGCGATAATATTTGCTGGAAATGCAAACAGCAATAGTATCATAATGGGTACGCTCATCTCCACCGTCCTTCCTTCAATATGCCATTGCCGTTAGGTGCAGTGTTTTGTTAACTTATATAAATTCTTTAAATCGCACTGACCCAAGTCAAAGTGTGGTGGACAGGTAAACATTAACTGACAAATTACTTGCTGTTCACATTTGTAAACGCATACTGATTGGTTTTTAGTAAGCTGCACATGTTTTGTTTAGTCATTCGACTATAGCTTTTGTTCCGTGGTGACAAGCAACTAAATGTGTGTTGAATCCGTGACCTCTTATGATTTTTTACCATCAATTCAGACCAGTGAATACGAAACCACTGTTGTCTCTGGCATGCCTCCAACAAAACTTTAAAAACTCACAACTGTGTTAATGTGTTTTTAATCAATATTCGGTTACTGCATCCATATGTAGGCAGTGATAGATAGAAGGGTCATTCTTCATGACTGCCGTGAGAAAAATAACCCTACAGCGCACAAATACCATCCATGTTCACTTACATACCTGGAATACTCCATTGTACAGCTGTGCAATTTTATTGATTGATCCCAATATGGTACTGCTTAAAATAGCTTCTCAGCGGGAATTTTCACACGCAGGCTCTTTACTAGGTCTAATGAAGCTGCACCGAGCCACGCTAGTGATGTCAACGAGGGGAACCAATGCAATGCCATTCTGTACTATGTAGCACTGTCTACGCTTCTAGGAAGAGGTAAAGTTTCCTTTTATAAGCCTAAAAGATTCCGGTGCAACTTTTCATGAATCGTAAGATAGCGATTGTAGATCACCAAACTAACACACGGAAACCGTTTACGGTTAGCAGAGATCAATTACGCTCACTACCGTAAGATTGCGTTACTTTGACTCGGGTTGCGAAATTTAGTTCGCAGCCATATTTCTATTGTGTCGGGTAGAGTACATGAGTTTTTTTGCAATTACATTTACTACTGTGCAATACCACTGCCGTCCTAATTACTAAGCGCAGATAATGTTCTACATAAATACCGGTCAGAAATCATATCTAGATGTCATCCGTTGAAGGTAAAAATGTCGAGTGATGACAGTCGCAACGTGTCTAATAAAGGCCGGAAATAAACTCTACGCTAGTATCTTTCTTTGTGAATCACAGAATTTGAACCCATTAGAATCAAAATGCACTCTGAAACCCCAAATGATATTATTATAAAAATAATTGCTTTATTCAATCAAGCATTGGTTTCTCAATTACTTTGGTTGCGGTGATCCAGAGGGCTGAATAATTCCCCAAATATTAGATAGATAACATTGGCGCTGGTCCTGCTATCGGTCACCTAGGTATAAATATTACGAACAAACTGTCGTTCAGTTTGTTAAAGATCGAAATGTTAAGCAGATGATGCAGTCACTGTAGACCCTAATCCGGCTAAGCCGAATTCCTTTGAACAGCGCTACTCTTGCTGACCAGTTGACTCATGGTATAATGCTCAGGGAAGGATGTCAGCAGGTTCCGTTAGTTCCACTTCTGATAGTCCACATGGTGTCTGACCGCAGCCAGACTGTTTAAATTTTTGAACAACGAAATGAGAAGGGGAATATTGGCAGATGCTAGCATTTCGTATTATCTCATCAGTACCAATACAATAATGCTGTCAGTTGGTTTAGGAAAAAGCTGACCGACATTGTTTATGAAGTCCTCATGGTACCGGTAAACGAAAAGTGTGCGCTTACAAGCCGTCGTTTAAAAGCAATACGAGAGCTGAGCAATAAGTGAGTGGTTGTATTAAAACCGGACAAAGGTTCAGGAGCAGTAGTCATGAACAAGAGTGATTACGTACAAAGAATGCTAAACGTTCTAAGTGACGAAAGCAAGATTCAAAGCACCGACAGGATAGAATGTCTGACAGAAGTAGAAACCCGTATAACCCGACACCTTGAAATGCTTTTCCTACATCGTGTACTTGATGAAAGCACCTACAAGCACCTGAAGCCGAGCGGTTCCTCGACACCACAGCTGTACGGTTTGCCAAAAACTCACAAGCGGGGCATGCCACTAAGACCCATTTTGTCGATGGTAAATTCCCCGCAGAACAGATTGGCTCGCTGGTTAGTTCGGATCCTTGCGCCAACGAGGCTGCAATACAATTTGCAAAGCATTAAGGACTCTTTTGAAATAATCGGAGACCTAGACCAAATCAGCCTGGCCGACAAGATTATGTGCTCCGTGGACGTCCAGTCGTGATTTACTAATGTCCCCTTTGCCACCTGATAGAAGAGGAGAATTTTCGTCTATCAATACGGGCAGACCTCCTGAGACACTCGCTGTTATTTTGCACGGAGAATATCGCTTTCCGATTCCAGCACACCACATATCTCCAAATTGACGGAGTGGCTATGGGTAGTCTGTTGGGCCCAGTACTGGCTGAATTTTTCATGCTGATGCTTGAGAGGAAACTAAGTGGACAGATTTCTCAACTGCCGTATTACAAACGATACGTAGATGATATCCTTGTTTTTGGTTCTACGATGATGCAAATCGAACAACTATTAGACCAATTAAATAATGTTCATACCTACATGAAGGTGACTTTTGTATTCGTATCGAATGGGCGTCTCAAGTATCTAGACATTCTCATGAATCGCAAGGAACATGGGCTGATTAAGCGAGCTGTATACCGGAAACCAACTTGGTCCGGCCAATACCTACACTTTACTAGCTTCTCACCGATGGCACACAAGCGCGCGCTAGTAAAAACAATATTCACTCGGGCCAGATATATCTGCTCCAACGACTGCCTGCCTGAGGAGTTTGAGCTGATCACTAAAACACTTAAGGAGAATGGCTACCCAAACCGATTCATAGACAAACATAGCCAAGTTAGACCGCCCAAGGAGATGTTGTTTACAGCCCCTAAGAAGAAGGTGTACATTGAGCTAACATTCAAGGGTGACACCGCAGCAAGAAGGATCACCAAACGCAGCGTCTCGGCCATTCAGCGTACATACTGTGCTGCGGAGGTGGTAATAATCAAAAGAACCCGAAAATTGCCGTTACCTTCAGTAAAGGAAAATAAACCCGTCGGCGCCAAATCACATTGTGTCTACCAATTCGTATGTGACTGCGGTATCAGTTACACCGGCAGCAACGAACGGGTTTTAGGTTCCAGAATGAAGGAACACTTACCAAACTGGGTTCAGCGTGATGTTACTCAATCCACCTCCAATGATACGTGATCGCGTAAGCCGCCAGCGTCCTCCATAGGCAGGCACATCTTGGCGACTCGTCACCGGGTTAATCCCTTATCAGCGTTCCAGATATTGTTACGTCATATTAATGCATGCTTTTTACGATTTGCCGAGGCCGGCGCGATAAGCCGAATTTGACCAGCTTTGTGTGTCCAAAAGCAATTAGTTGTCAACCTGCGGTTGACGTGGACCTAATCCCAAAAAAATGACCACAACCATAAATTTGATTGGTTTGACTGTGCCCTCTAAGACATATAAAAGTATTTCCCTTTTATTGTATTGGTACTGATGAGATAATACGAAATGCTAGCATCCGCCAATATTCGTCTTCTCATTTCGTTGTTCAAACTACTGAAGGAGAATAACTGTTTAAATTTTGCCAATACCGATTGTAGTCATCCGACCACGTTACCTCTCTTTCGATCTTGAAATGTTCACGTTCCAGGTGCAACACGAGCAACAGGTATAAGCTTGCGCTTCGAAATACAAAGCACCGTTGTGTCTAATGATTGCATGGAATCCTAGGTTGCTGCAGTTGATGCCAGCTGTATCGACGACCATGTGTATCGCCCCCATCGTCAATGCAACCAACATTACCTTCCGGTCAGAAGCTGTGTTGAAGAAGCTGCATACTGCTGTTGCTGTAGTAGATTTTATCACTTCAAATACTCTGCTGGCGACAGTCAGTGATGTAGCAGAACTGCTGGCAGTATTCTATCAACCCTGCAACAGGAGATAAAAAAATTTCAATATGGAGGTTAGGGGCCATCACAACTTTTCACAAATGACGTGATTCACTGACTGTAAATTAGCGCCTTAAGTGCTGCGTCCTCTACTTTCTAAGATAATAGAAATCAACTATCACTGATGCGTTGAAACTGCACTTGGAAGGTCAGAGAATAGATACTCTGGAACAACCTGGCTTCGGCAAATTCCTTCACATACTGCCACTTAATTACACTCAGTAAACAAACCGAGCGATGATAAATGAACAGTAATTTAAGATGACCAACGTGCAGATTATGAAACCAAGCTTAAGAATCAACTTAGAAGCAAGGAAAAATCAAGTTTTACGTGAGATCAAGCTATCCATTTACACACCGGGGTAATTTTCCTCACTGCTTTGCTACAGAAAGTATTGTTAATTACACAGTTATTTCCTTCTGTGATTAAATTTGGTTCGTTAGTTTTAAAGAAACCACATCGAGGCCTCCTTGCTGACGACGATAATCATCGATGTACCATCCTATGGTCCACATCTGCATTAGTAAGGGGTGGGGAACACGCCCTAACTATTTTGTCACTCTACGCTTTAGTGCTTTGAACGTATCAATAGGATGTCTGAGTCAGGGACACAAAGATTGGATCGCGTATATCAAGTGCGGTCTGTTGAGGTTCAAAATTTGTAGAAAGATGTTCTGAACTTTCCGAATCACTGCATACTTTTCCAAGGTGTTAACTGACTATTTTACTATGCCCTTTCAGTTTGTTTAGAACATCCTATGTATTCCTGCATGATAAATCCCTGGTAGCTTTCCTGAGAAAGACGTTAAAACTGCTGGTCCCCTGAGTCGAAATTCATTGCTAAACTGATGTCCTATGCCTACAACGTGAAACTGCAGCTTCTTGTCTCATTACCACATTTAGGTCCCGTCGAGATCTCTCTTTCCTCTCGTGTGATGGTTCATTGTCCTTACGTACTCTGCGTTTAGTAAGATGTGATCAGAACCCGCCGGCAATGTCATTGCTGACGACCAGCAACAAAGTTAACTTCAGTAGT